ACTAAACTAGACCACATACAGTGCCCATGTTAGGTAAAAGAAAAAATGGTTGTATTGAAAATTAAAATTTGTAATTCTACTCCTCACAAAATAATTTGCGCCAATCTCGGGTTATCCTATACGACACGAATATTTCAGTGCTTTGCCTGCCGAATTGTTTAGCCCCTCGCAAGTTGTTGAAATACCGTCTGTAGCTGAATTTCCTGTGGCCATTGCGGAGTTATTAAGCGCGGTCCAGTCCGATGTACGCATGAATAATTGATGAGAAATTGAGGAGGGGACGTCAGCTATCGAAAAAACAGACCAACTTTCCAAATAGATAGAACACATCGTTCAACACATTTTCTGGAATTACATTATAAATTTACGTAGTATACCCTTGACGAATCTGAAGGTTATATATGGATTGTGTAGTTTTCAGTTTAAAGTTCCCTGTTTTTATGTTCTTTAATTTCAAAGATGTTCAATTCAATTTTGACATAAATGAACATTAATTGGAAACAAAACGAAAATGAAAATACTTATTTATCACCTTTCTTTATATCTATTAAGTTTGCTGCATATTTTCCCCTCGCTTTCAGAGGCACGAACGCCATTATCACTGTTCCACACCAAACCACGATATTTTTCAGTCTTTCTCGAAGTTCAAACATATTATGCATCACTGCAGCTAAATAGAGAGTTTCTGAATCACCGGGTTTCAACGCAGACTACAAACATAAATACACAGAGTAGAAAGGCATCCGCCACACGTGCAATATTAAATTGTTGGGTGACGACAGCTAGATATGACAGAGTTATATACAATTCACTGTGGCCTGAGCATGCTTGCGAGTATTTTATGCTCCATCCAGAAGCGATGCAAGAAATCACCGGCCATGAAGAAATCGAAGGGGGGCATCACACCATTTCACGCTTTGTTCAAAACTTGAAGATACGAAATGTGTATAGGCCTACATCCCCCGTTACCACCCCCCCCCCCCCTCGCGAAATCCATGATGGTTGTACTGAAAAATCGTGTCTTCCATGACTTTGCCATTTACGTATAGTCATTCAGGGACCGAAGCGTAAATTATAATGTTCCTCAATTGTTTTCAAGATTTTTTTTAAAGATAAATCAACTTTCTAAAAAACACAAATTCCATGGCGGACTTTGAACACTCTGGGCTTTTTCAAGCTAAGTATGGACCAATAAGGCACTTTGCTATGCGGATAGTGGATATGCGGTGTAAAAAGTCACAGACCGGAGACCTGACCTCATTACACACGTGTATATGAGGCGACAGGCAATGGCCCCGTGCTTTCAAGCTTATGATATCTTAATGGTTGCTATATGCGCTGTGAACAATTTTCTTGCAATGCTCGTGCTTACAGCCTTTTCAGATCTGGTTACTGTGTACATTCAATATGTCAGACCTACTCTAGAATATGCGACCCCTGTCTGGCACTCATGTTTATCAAAAAAGCAAGAGGAATGTCTAGAAAAATTACAGCGCAGGGCTTTTCGTATCATTTTGTCTTATGAATATTGTCTCAATAGGTCTTACAGTGAAATATGTTCCCAACTCAATGTTCCCCCAGAGAACAATTGTGTTCCGTGTTTGGCAAATCATTACTCACTTCCCACAAATTCAGAGACTGGCTGCCCCCGATTAGGAACAATGGGTTGAGGAACAATGATCATCTCAGCACAATACGCTGTAGGACTAACAGGTACAAATGTAGCTCTATTCCCTACTTAACTGATCTGATTAACAAAGATATGTGACCTCTTTTTCCTGAGTTGATGAAGAACTCGTTGTTGGTCACAGTTTCTGGTTAACTTATTACATGAAGTGGGTTGGGTATGCATGAACGTATATAGCTCACTCAATGACGGCCATCTCTGGGGGGTACTGCGACTGCGTATTTTACGCAGTCGGATTTGAATGATTTAAATGTTTATTACTTGTGTGTATTTTGTTGTGATTTACGCTTTCTATTAGATATTTAAATGAGGGTGATTACGTCACAGTCAACTTCGACAAGCTGGCTGGTATCAGACTTTAAATGGCTGTCCTGTTCCGCCATTTTGAATCTGTGTTCAGACTTTAGGTCTGCATTCAAATACTATAGCGAGCAGTGCAGATCAGCACTTCTCTCATGACTAACAACAGGGGCGGCGGAACGGTGGGTAAGGGGCACTCGCACAAGAACCCCTCTCGCATTAACAAGATTGAGCACCTTCTCGAGATGGAAAACTTACCCCTCGAAAGCATAAATAGGCCTACACCTCTCGCAATAATAATAGTGTGTCCCTCTCGAGTTTGAACATTGGCCATCAAAAACACTAGTGCTCCTCTCACGATAACTTCTCGAGATGGAAAACTGCCCCTCGAAAGCGCATTTAGTGCCCCGCTCGCAACATTAAAATTGTGCCCCCTCTCAAGATGCAAAACTGGCCCCTAAAAATAATGCTCTTCACGCGAATAAAATGGTCACTGAACTGGCCACCAAAAGCAAAAGTGTCCCTCTCGCGATAAAAAAAAAATGGTCGCTTTGCATAACTAGGTAACATGAACACGAAGAGCAAGATGGACAACGTATTCATAATTAGTTCTCGTCATAACCATATTCTTTTCCTCCACTTTCACACCGACGGAAGGTGCCCCTTTTTCTGAGCAAGTGTCCCTTTGCCCCCCCCCCCCCCCCCCCCTCCTGTGAAAAGGGTCCCGCTTCCCTGATTAACAATTTCGATTCATAAAAACGAAACGCTGACCATTAATAATATTTTCTGTGCAAGAAACCGTTGGGACAACCTACTTTTTGGGAGTAGCATAATGCTTAGACATTTTTTTGAAAACGATTTTGATACGAATATTTTAGAGGAGGCGATTTTTGAAAACTTCAACATAACAAAAAAAGGAAAACATATTGGAAATCTTGCCTTCAATTTGTGTTTTGCTCGATAATGATCAAATAGGCCTACTCAAGATTGTCAGTATTTTTCTAAGGTGGCGCTTTAGTCACACTGTTAAATCAAGGGGACGATTTGTTCTGAGAAATCCGGATGATGTTGGCCTTCTCTGGATGTGGAAAGAAGATCTCGAGTTAAGTCGAACAATTCCCTCGTGGTTTCGTATTCACGATAGAATTGGCAAATTAAAGCCGAGAAAAGTAGACGGAGAGTAGATCAGATTAGGGCTCCAAAACCCATCGTTCAATACAGACATACAACCAGACATGTACTCTCACACATTTTCTTAGATATTTAAAGGTAACAATTTCGTGTAGTTTTTGTGTTAAATGTGTTAGTGTCCTCAATCCTTTTTGTTTTCAAGTAGGGCGGCCGTATGATTTGGTGGCTACCTCCCAGCGAGTTGTCACAGGTCATTGTAACCATAACCTTAGTCTAGCGGACCGCACTGCCCACATACGGACCCACTGCTATCATCTTCCAGCGGCCAGGTCATCGGGCAAAAAAAAAATCTTTTTTTCCCATGCTATTCAGTTCCCTCAATCTTGATCCCTACTGGTCACCCCCCCCCCCCAAAAAAAAAAAAGAATTCTTAGCCGACGGCTACCTTTTATACGACAATGAAATGTTAACGTTAATTCTGAAAAGAAAACTTTGTCATTATCATGATATATTTCATTATTGACACTAATCAACAGAGTGTGAGTGTCAGATACGGAATAAATCGACTTTCATGAAGTGCGACAAACGTATTCCTTCTTTGAGGCAAATCTCTTATCTCTTAATTATTGTGAGAGTCTCGGGACGATCTTTAAAATTAAGCATGAATCATTGATGACCGTAATGTTTCATTGCTTTCCGGAAAAATGACCTCACACTTTGTTTTAACACCGCTCACTGATCAAGACTGGGTCTAGCTTCCCAATCTCAAGGGAGGTTTTTATTTGTTTTGCCTCGCAGCATGGTGAAGTAGTCCATCCGTTCGAACGGTATAACGCTCCTGCACACGTTGGTTGCCTCTGTAGCTCTGTGAGCAATGGACGATCCAAATCGAGAGAAAAGAAAACTGTTACTTCCAAATGACAACATTTTTCCAATTGGTGTGTGATGATAGGTAAGTGTCGAAAATGATGAATCGACGATGCTGGTAGTCAGCCCTTTGCGACGGTCGCTGTTCATTGTATGCGAATATAAAAACAAAAAATAAAAATGTACTTCGAAAATACAACATATCGGTAGGAAAAAATTAAGTAATTGGATCCCTTACCATTTCATAGTCTGATTCGGACAGAATTCAAAAGAGTGTCTTTGATCAACGTCGATATTAATTTTCAAACCATGCATGTAGAATGTGGACTTCACAAAGGTCATTTAATAATGCATTACACCAGATTTAAAGCAAAACCATGTGTCTTTTGGCCTATACACCACGTGTTCCTCCAATTTAAAAACAAGGGGAAGGGTGTCAACCCTTTTGAATCAAAAGATTACATGACTCGTGAAGGTCGGGGTTAAGTAAGGGGGACATTTTAGTAAACTTCTTTTGCTTTTTACAAGCTGATGGTACGGGTCCTGGGTAAAGTTATGCTATCTCACTTTTTCGAGATGCCATGTTTCCTGCGTGTTGTACGGATATGCCTTCTGAGATCATAGAGCTGGGACCTATAGCATAGAACAACGTGGAGGTAGACCGGCGTGTCTAGAGGAACCCAGGCCTATTATGATTATTGTTACTGTTAGCGAGCAAGAACACTGCTTCATTCTTGTCTCAAACCAAACCAGACAGAAGATGTCCTTCCGTTTTGTTGACTTACGGTGTCAATTAAGCGGACAGAAGCAATAATCAGGTCCTGCCCGTTAACCCCGCCCGATCAATTAACTTAATTTGCGAATAGTTTTGTTTTGTAGCGATAGTGGAGTGGGGGGTACACACGGTGGGCTTCTTGCGGCGAACAAATGAGTGTCCTTCAAGTCAAAGAAATAAAATAGACAGACAGGGATGTCAGCATGAGCCAGCTGTTTCACTCCTCCCGACATATTTAGGGTTGAAATATTTTTATTAAATGTTTAAGGCGCGACTACAGTTGTAAAAAAATACAGGAAGTGGAAAAGATGAAGAGACTGTATTGCTAAGGGTTGCCGTTGAAAGCTTTATTGAAGGAAACTTCTCTTAGTTTCAGTGAAACCTTTCTGTAACATTTGCTTTGACTGTCATCTATGATCTAGACGAGAAACAAATCGAAACATGGATTTTTAAAACAAATTAGGCCTAATACATTAATTCAATTGGAAATTAACTGGCTGTTAAAATTATTTAGTTTCAACCAAGATGATTAAAGTTTCCATGAAAATAAGTACATGTACAGCAAATTATCAAATGGATTTTAATAGTACTTAAACTGGATCGCTTTCGCGTACAAGTGCGCTGTAGAAAAGGGGCGGCCAAACGATGTGTTACACATTCTCCAGCGTAAGTTAATTTGAGCACAATCCTAATCATTGGGGACTCGTGCCTGACCACATAATTGGCTGCATGAGGCAGGCTGGCACGCACTTGGCAAGTTGAGATAAATGGAACACGAGGAAGATGAACAACTTTACTCCCTCCCCTTCCATCTTCAAAGGATTCCGTGTGGTAAAGGAGCAGCCCTCCTCTATCCTACCACAGACAAAACCATATAAACATGCAGTACAGTCTGGAAGTCATCAGCTATGATTGATGCACACCCATTGCCGATCTGTCTGTCGGCACGTCTCTGAATGATAAACACCGAGACGCCCATTCCTCTCACTCCAGCACCAAGAATGAAATTGACCGCGGATTGAGGATGATGGATTACTCTCATGGGGTGTTGTGACCAGAGGGACCCCGGCATAGTCAGGGTAAAGCACGGTGAACTCAATGGCTAACAGTGACACTTAATAAAAAGATATAAACCCTTGGACACAAAGAGGTGGATTCAGAAGCATATACATTTGGGGTGATTTATGAGGAAGATGGTCAACCTCTAAACCAATTTGAACTTGTTGAAAAAGTTGATTTTGTCAAAGGATTATTCAATGCATGGGTGTTATTTTTAAGTCAAAGAAGCCCAGCCTACATTAAGTCCATTAAATATATCAATGTCTAATCAATACTCAGTGCAACCATTTCGCTATCAATTCAGAATTGTTCAAAGCAAGTTTTAAAAAAGCAAAATAAAACATTTTGTTAGATGAAAATAACCATCTTCAAAGAGCACTCTTTATAAAGCACTCTGAATATGAGGATCTGATTTTACTTGTCTTGGCAATATGGTTCCTGACTGGCTGTCTGCAAGTAAAACTTTCCCCGTGCCAACGTGCTGTCGGCACGATAACCCATAGACGGACATCCCAACGCTCCGCAATCCGAACACTGCCCGTTTAAGAATTCGTCCCAACTGCTACAGGGGTAGGAAGCGAATTGGCACTGAGTTGTCTGGATGCTTTCAGTGAAATAGTAAACGGCTCTGAAATGACTGCATTTCAACTCTGACTCGGTATCATCTATTTTGAAAAATGAAGCAATGTTGAGATATTCAAGCAAAAGTTGTATTTGTTGCATCAGGGGCAAGCTGTATTTTTTCAACGTTTTTACTGATTCCTCACTTGAAGTTGATAGTCATTACCAACGTATTACCTATAAGCATAATAATGTTCCCTTTCCATACTTCATGCAAGGCAATAATTATGAAAACGGGTCATCTTCTTCACGTGTTTATTAAGACCTTTGCGTCTTTGATGATGTTCAAAATAGTGTATGGTGGTCCTGGGCCTATATCGTAAATTTAGAATTAAAGACGGAAACAACCAACATGGTGCAGTGTACATAAAAGCAGTATCTTACCCAATTTGTCACTAACTGTCTTGGGACAACCCGGCTGTTCCTTGCCGCCATTTGGGTAGAAATCAACGTCTCCGAGCTGAGTCGAATAAAGCAAAAATACAAAGCAAGTAAATGTATTTAAAAAGTTTACCCTCACACAACATAGTTATAGCCCGCCCTCTGTTGAACTCGCAATTGCTGTAATCGGTTGATGGCCTACGGATCTCTGCCCTCAAGATTTGGAAGCATCTGTTGCGGAGCAGCCCTTGTTGATACCTTTAAAATGCTTTTGCCCCCCCCCCCCCCTGCATATACTTCCGCCCACTGAAAAACCACTGTCGCGGCATAACGCATGCGCGGCGCATGGTCATTTTTTTAGTCTCTACAAAAATGATTAAAATTCCCGTAGACACCAGTGCTAAATGTCCATACTTCAAAATTCTTTTAAAAACTACTCAGAAATGTATCTGCACAGAAAAATGATGATCAACATGTGATCTTCATTTTCTTCACATTTTTTGGTGGGTTTACCATTGACTTTTCAAGAAATTCTCACCCAAAGAAGACGACCCCTATTTTCCCCAAAGTGAAGCCATCTTGAAATATGATCCCTCCACAACACGGGCAAAATAGCGCCACTTTCAAGCCCAATTGCATCCAAAATGCTCAGAATTGGAAGCCTCAAGTCCGGGCCAAATGTCACATATCTCTTCAATTCCCCAATTTTATGGCTCTCAGAACTCTCTAATATAGAATATTTTGAGGGTATAACTTTTATTCATGAGCTCGGCAGATGGGTTTAGGCCTATTTACCGGTGTGCACCCTTACTGGACCCCCATATTTTAAGTCCCAATGACAATGGGGTCGGGAACCAGACAATCTAATTTTTATTGCGTGAGTTTAAGCGCGCCCTCTGTTGATGGCAAGCCAGTGATAACAGACTGAATTGGTTCAATATTCATGTTGCTTCAAAATGTAGGCCTATATACATGCGTATTCTCTTGGGCTTATTGATTGTTGATACTGGAGCACCAGAATACCTGTTTGCCAAAAGACTTCCAAAATTCCAAAAATAATGTTGATGTGCTGCTTGCTGAAATACTGGAATAGTGATGCTGACCAATTGTTAATTGCTTACCGGTTGTTGCAGACCCATACCAAGCTCGAGTAATGTCTCTCCATCAGAGTGAATGTTGTCAACAAAGATGGCGTCTGTTGGATCAAGTCGACAAGCCGGGTCGTTGTCCCTAAAGTTTGGCCCTGCGGGATCAAGCCCTACAGAACGGCGGGAAAATTTGAAAATTGTGTCTTTTTTTATTCTTACTCTGTCATTTTGTTGGAGAATAATGCAAGCTTACGACCCGAAACCAAATATATAATTGCAGCTAGTAAAAAAAAAAAACCTTTGGGGTTTTTGCAATTCCCTTGTTGGCCAAGGTTGATAAATAGAGGCTCAATAAAGATGTTTGTTCTTTCAATTGAGCGCTCTCTTTTGCTTTCTCTGAAAACTTGTCAACGGGGATCGGTTTGCTAAGTCAGAGCTGTCTCGGAGTTGTTATGGCAATTTGGATAGACGTCAATGGATATACCCAACTAGTGCCTAGAATTCGTTTTACGTAAATTGTCATACACAAATATGACAGACTGTAACCACTGGCTGGCCAGTAATGATTAAGTTTATTTGACCTTATGATTATGTGCAACGAGACACAACGTAACGCAAAGCATAGCAAGGCAGCGCAATGCAACAGATTGCAAACATGCGAAGTAATAAGGCCGTGTCCAAATAACTTGGCTATGGCTTGAAATAACACACGAGGCTATGGGAAGCGGCTACAGGCACGACGCAAAGACTCGTGTGTAAATTATTATTGCAAGCCATTAACTATAAAGCACGTTATGTAAAAAACTTATAAAAAACGTTACCGGACCTGTGATTCTTGCAATACCGGGCTGGTAGGCTCCGGCGTAGCCGGAGATATGCGCTCCTAAACTGTGACCAATCAGATGAATTTGGTCGAAGCTTGCTCCAGTCTCCGTGTTCAAGAATTGAATGAATTTGGCAATGACTCTACCAACTACCCTGGTGTTCTGAACTGACTGCGTGTATAGGTTCCTGGAACCCGATGCCCAATCTACAAGGAATACGTTCAGGTTCTCCTGTTATTTAAAACAAAAACAAAACATGGAAAGCGGAATGTTCATGAGGGCGCACTTCATGGTATACATGAATGCGGATGAAGCTGTTCAGAACGAAGGACGACATCTAGTTTTACAGCAGGCAACAATTTCCAACAGTTTGGGAAACACCAACAGAAAGGCCACCTCGCAAATTGATGAGAACCATTCTGAATTATTCTTATTAGTTATGATTTTTCAGTCCGTATATAAAGAGCGTTCTATATTATAACTGATATCCACGGAGTCAAGTATAACGTCTGATATGTCAAAGCGCTAGCATGCAGATTTATGCGATCTCGCGCCTCTGCCAATCGGAGTCGACATTGCTAAATTGTGACCCTATTTCATTCCCACATCACAGGACTAAAAGTGCAACCTCGTGCCCCGTGGGTACGATCTTGCAGCGCCATGTTGTTTCTCATGATGCCTTGCGCGATCGTAACCCCTGGAATTGTGTAATTTAAATGTGCCAAAATACGGTACATTATAATTAGGGCTGCAGTTTATCCGTTTTACGTGCCGACGCCATCTTTAAAATGTTAAAAGTTGTGGTTTTGAAGAATCAATCCTTTCAAACACAACGTTTGGACGTTGTGTTAATTAGCAAAGATTTGTATTAAATGTACGTACCCCTTTCGTGCCTTCACAACCACAGATACAGGGGGGGTTAGCGAAAAACGCGGCTGACATAATCCATAATCGTACAGGCATCGCGACTTTTGAATCCTAATTTTTTTTAGTACGTGACGTTACGTGCAAAGCACGCGAGCGCATTATGGGGGCACCGGTGTCACGGTCTCACTTCTCCGGCGTGCTAGCTTCTCCAAAAGGGAAATTTCGCTTCAACACGCATGCACAAAATTGCGCAGTAGTGTACATTTTCGTCACTGTATTAGTGTGCTGAGTTTTTCGGGGCTGTACTTGTGTACGTAAGATATTTGTATGCATAGAATTTTCTTGGCGCGCACTGTTAACTTCCAATGTTAAAGACTTGAATTTGAAATGCACATTTATTTTAAGCCGTGGTTGCAAAAATAAGGACAAAATGGACCACGAACGAGCAAGGAACACGGACCAAGGAGTTCGTTCTTAATTATTCCTCCATGAACACACACATGCATGACGCTGGGAACACAAAATAATCAGAATGCTTGCAAGACCGTGGAATATGACTTGACCCACAGGAAGTGTTACATAACACATTATTGGGTGTCCCTCACTGTGTTATTAACGGGCTTCAGACTTCAGAAAACAGCCCGAGGAAAAGTAAGCACAGCGGACACATGAGCATGAATCGTGCTCATGTAACGTGCACTGTAACGTGCTCAATTATCCGCCGAATCAACCCGGAGAAGCTAGCACGCCGGAGAAGTGAGACCGTGACACCGGCGTGCAATCTTCGAAATGCGCGCGCAGTACCTGTGAGTAGCCATTCACCGTCATTTACGTCATCATCACAGCCAGGGGTTAGTGTAAGGAACGAGCACGCGCCCCTGGAGTCGAGGCTGGGACGTATGCATCGCTGACTTTGGCCAAGTTCGCGCAAGGACTATAGTTGTCCAATGGTTAACTAACGTTTGCCCGAACTCTGTCTAGTCGACGATGGTTGACTACGCTAGTCGACTATTTGGAACCAGCCTACTGGGGTTGGTTGCTTCGCTAGTAACCAATAGCCGCGCGCATCCATAACGCTAGCAGAGAGCCAGGATCCAGAAGTTTTGCGATGACATTTTGACCAGCGTTTGACTAGAGACGTTCGCACATTGCTATCAGTGCGCAGGCGTAAGGTACGTCACAAATCAACCACTAGTCGACTAATGGTCCTTGCCCGAACTTGGCCCTGATTGACGGTTCGCTTGCCGTCTGAGTCTCCAAATGCCGTGTGAAAAAATAGTGCAGGTGGGATATTCACACCCACCAAAGCCCATTCAGCTATAGGCCCCTGTATGTATCCTCCTGAACTATCTGCATTGATCCCTGGGGAGTGGGCCGTATCATAAGTCCGACGCCTCATAGGTCCGACGTCTCATAAGGTACGTTTCTGAATTCCCGAACGAAAACCTAAAATGACCCTAAGGCTACGTTCAGTGCTGTAACCGTGGATCTGATTGGTTATGCCGGAGTATGCCACCATGGGCAGCACTGATCTGGGACGTAGGACGAGAGCAGCGAACCTAACGCTTGCGGTCTCCCTGTGATTGGCTGTGACTATGCACCGTATAAGACCATTAACATGATAATGATCCCAGTTCACTGAGCGACTCGTAATTGACGTGCGTGCCTTTTAGCTGAGACGTGATGGTATGGTTGACCAGACATCGCGTCTACATGGCATACATTGATTTTCCACGTGATGGCTGGAAGCTTAGGCAGCAGCGTATCCAGCTTTTGATGTTGGAGGGGGGGGGGGGGCAACTGCACATCCGCGCCGAAATGTAGACATGTTTTTTTTCTCCCAACACTTGCCCTGACACTGACCATTGGTCATTTTTATTGGAGGTAATTTTTTTTGAAAAGGGCACTTGCACATCCGTTGTGAAATGTAGACAGGTTTTTTTCTCCGGACACTTTGGCCTCCGTCAAATCAAAAAGCGTGGGGGGGGGGGGGGGGGCTGGTCCCATCTGTCGATGGGGGCACTGTTCAAAACCGACAATTATGCACACAAAGGGCCAATATATGGTGTTTTTCAGGGCGATACAATGCGAAATTCTGAAAAAAAGGCATCCAAAACGGCAGATGCCCCCAAAAAAGGGACTTCTTTTTAAAAAAAAAGGGCACTTGTTCAGAAAAAAGGGCACTTCGCAAAAAAGGGCACTCTTTATAAATTATCGGGTGGGGGGGGGGTTAAGCCCGTTGAAAAAAAGGGCATTTGAATGGAAAAAGGCACTCCTTACAAAATATTGGGGGGGGTGGTAAATACCCCCTTAACCCTCCCCCCCCCCCCCCTGCTGGCTACGCCTATGTACTACACATTATATGGACATTATCACGGCGCATTGTAATGGTTGTTGAGCGGGTTTCCGTTGGTTGGATTGATGTCACACAAACTCTATAAATATTTATTTAAATCAGTGATGACCAAAAACAAATTGTCCAAAAAATCCTCCAGGTGAGAGTGCCCCCCCCCCCTGCCCCCGCTGGATACGCTACTGAGCCTTGGGAAATTTGAGACAATGCAGATTATAGTGGTCGGTTGCTACATGTATAATAGTCCAGTCATATTATGAAAAAAAAATTAAACCCAGAACAAATTGCACCAGTAATTATATTAACAACGTAATATCAGACAAGAATATATACGAACATATCAAAAGTCTACCAACATCATCGCAGTGGAACTTTCCCCAATTTGCATTAATTTCAAAAATGTCACACCATATTAAAAAATAAACCCGGAATAAATTGCAAAATTGCCGATTTTTACAGCCTGATCTCAGACAAGCACATATAATAACATATCAAATATCGAGAAGAAAACAAATAAGGGAACAGTGTGTAATTTGCATAAATGCCAAATCATCAGCAATTTGTACTATTTCGTTTTTACTTGAGCTATGTCATGACGTAAACAAACTGTCCCAAATACGAGTGTGGCAGGTGCTGGATCCACCCCTGCATGGGTATTGTTTTGTGGCCCTTGTTGATGTAAGGTGTTGCACACAAACATGATGGTATGGTTTGTAAATTTTCAAGTCCACCCATACTCGTATTTTTGTCCGACAGTAGTCGGTGGTGGGCGTTTCGTTGTGATTGACATTAATTATGCATTTTGTGGTATAACTCATCCCTGGATTATTTTCAAAAACGTTGTATATGGCCTGTGTATCAACATAATGAAGCTAAGTATTCCAAACAGCTGCGTCTTAAAATACAAATTTACCTTAAAACCACTACTTTTGGAATTTGTGTTTTTTTAATTGCCCCCCTCCTACGGTTTTCGGGTGGGGTGATCCTGTGTGCTCTACGTATTACATAATGATCATGCATCTATCAAGCCAAATACCAATGTAAGATATCAAAACTGTCATCGGTAAACATGCGTTTTTAATATTTTTCCCTTTGAAAGGTATATTCCAAAATGTTGTTATTTTTGAATGGTGTATTCTATTTTCATGTTTGTTTTGGTTGATTGACGTTTTACATAATTATAGCACATTATCTGCGTAGAGGGTTCAATACCTGAACGAAATGCTGCGCTTTTCAAATGCTGTAAACCAACAGGTGCGAACGAAACTATCATTGCTTCAACGCAGTGCGATATTTCTATAGAATTAGGGTGGAGCGGTGGGCCTTCCTTCTATTGTCTGTGTTGCGACACTGTGCCCCGGCCAATGAATTGAAAAGGCCGTGGCGTAAGTTATTCATTCAAGGTATTAGGCTCTTTATAATGTGCCCGCCTCCTATTCATAACCCGAACGTAAAAGGAACTTATAGCTATGCCACGTGACAGGGAATTGGGCAATCACTGAGAAGATAACAAACGTGCATGGACGTACATGTTACGTCCTTAGGGGCAATTAAGAAACGTACCTATCAGTCCGAAATTTCGGACTGACGAGGCGTCGGATTTATGAGGCATAACATTTATTTATTCCGCCTCATAGGTCCAACACCTCATAAGTCCGACGTCGGAAAAACGAGGCGTTTAATTTGTCGGACTTACGAGACGTCGGAGCTACGAGGCGTCGGACCTATGAGGCATTGGACCTATGAGGCGTCAGACTTATGAGCAGATCCCATTCCTGGGTGATTTGTGGGTCCACGTCTGCAGCATGAACACTAACCGCTTCCAACAGTGTATCTTTCATTTCGGACTTACGAGGCGTCGGAGCTACGAGGCGTCGGACCTATGAGGCATCGGACTTATGAGGCGTCGGACCTATGAGGCGTTGGACTTACGGGCCTTTATTTTGTTAGGGGATGCGATTTTGTAGGACTTATGAGGCGTCGGACCTATGAGGCGTCGGACTTATGAGGCGTCGGACCTATGAGGCGTCAGACTTATGAGCAGATCCCATCCCTGGGTGATGTGTGGGTCCACGTCTGCAGCATGAACACTTACCGCTTCCAACAGTGTATCTTTCATTTCCTTCATCCATTCAGCTCGCGAGCCTTTCTCTGTGAACCCGTGAATGATGAACACTGTGCGTCGTCTCGGGCTGAACGTGGAATATTCTACAGATGCTGGGTCGGTTCGGTCAACCTGTAATTAGAGAGTTATCGAAACGTATTCAGAAGTGGATGTCGCTCAACTCAATTCGTGGAAGCAGGGGTTCTTGTGTGTTTATTTCTCTTTAATGGAAAATTGAATGCAAGCTTCTAATCTGTATAGTGGACATGCTCATGCCTTCTATTCATTTACATCAATGCTTAGACATAACTTTTCGATGGAAAAATGCAAAAAATACCTTCATATACAAGCTGGGGTTGAGTCGGGTATACAGTAGGAATTCAGTATTAATGTACTCGGGTGACATGGGCGGGAAACGAAAGAACACATCAAATGGTGCCTCGTCAGTAAAACAACCGATATCACCATAGCAAACTTCCTCTGTGAAACCTTCAAGAGAGAACCAAAACAAAACAACCGATATCACCATAGCAAACTTCCTCTGTAAAACCTTCAAGAGAGAACCAAAACAAAACAAAACAACCCATATCACCATAGCAAACTTCCTCTGTGTAACCTTCAAGAGAGAACCAAAACAAAACAACCTATATCACCATAGCAAAATTCCTTTGTGAAACCTTCAAGAGAGAACAAAAACAAAACAACCTATATCACCATAGCAAACTTCCTCTGTAAAACCTTCAAGAGAGAACCAAAATAACGCCATTTTACCAAACATGCTTCTGGCACAAATCTTATTTCTGGCTTTAGACACGATCGACAAAAATGAAACCGCTACGTTTACATCAAACTATAGCCTAGTAGCCTTACATCCTTACCTGGTTTCACGAGACATCCGGTCATCCAAACAAACAATAAACTTGTCAGAATGTGCATCGTTGATAATAAAGTTTCTAGTAAGTGAAAATAATGCAATAAACCAGTAACTGTCGAAAATCTGTTTTGTGAAGAACAGAAATGTAAGCCGCCCCTGCGTATCACACGAAATGAGTTAACGATGCGGTCTACGAATGGAATAAAAAAATATCAACACACTGAAAATGTATAATCTAAAAGATAACAACAGCAAGAATTAATAGATACCGGTTGACTATTTCTGTCACCGGTTTATTTACTGAGCCCACATAATCCGTCCTTATTAAAAAGGAGAATAGCCTTATTGACAAATAACTTCTAACAATTTATCTACTTCCGCATCAATACATCAGACTTGTGGCTTAAAAGATTTACTCTGAATATGGACGGTCTTATTGACTTGAGGCCGCGAGGGCCATTTTAAACAAGAAATTGTTTTTAGGTCTACAGGGGCGGATCCGGGAATTTTCGCAGGGGGGGGGGGTTCATCGGCAAAAAAATCTGAAATGTAGACAGTTTTTTCTACGGACATTTGGCCTCCGAAAATCAATAGGTGTGGGGGGGGGGACTCGTACCATACTTTCAATGGGGGCGCTGTTCAAATCCGACGATTATTAATACTATATCACAGAATAGTGTATACCCCCTAACCAAGCTGGCTCTGTCCGTATTTTGTGCACAGACGGACATTATTACCAGAAACACATTTGGGGTGTCAGAGCAGGGGGGGTTTTCGCATTTTTTCCATGAATTTTTATGGGGGAAAAAATAAAAATGGACAGAGCTCGGTTTTTTTTTACCCCCTCCCCCCGAATCCGCGCCTGGTCTATATGAATTATTAAAACATAATTATTAAAACATCCACGAATAAGCTTCAACTACAAATTTGCTTGCAGCATTTTCCCGTTTCAAAAAGTTGCAAAATAAACCAAAGGCCTGCATTAACTTTTGCAATTTGCGCTTGATGGAAGTAATGTGTCCGAATTTTGGTAGTTTCGGTTCAAGAAAACTAAATGCCCAGGAAGTCTTGTTCTAATACGTCTGATTTGTGTAAGCAGTAGAGGGAACCACCAGGGAATGCTGCTTTACCTTCAGATATGAACAGAATACGAAATGCGAAGATACATTAAGTTGTTACACAACTAATCTAAATGAGTATTTCTCAAGTGAAGGTAAATGAAGTACATTGTACATGTATTGTCAAATTTCTTTTGTCATCAAAGTGATGATAATATCAAAGAAATGAAATGTCGAACGATCCGCTGAGGAATAATCCGATTTATGCAGGAGATAATAGCTTTATCCTCACCGCGGGACAACTTAGACTCCATTCAAGGCTTTTGCTCGTAAACACGCACAAGAAATGTCATGTTCCAACATCACTAAAGACTGTGTGAGCTGTTCGGGTAAAGCCCACAGTGAACTACCATCAATAATTTATCTGGTGTGCTAGTTGTCCACCAGTGACAAGGTAAAAAAAAAAGGTTACTTCGATTTACAAGAACCAAATATCGAGTAAATATATAAGCCCCTTTTTATGCAATGAGTACCATCTGACAAAATCCGCGATGTTCACACGGTGCTAATCTCTAATATAACAGTGTAAATTATCCAAATTAAAACGATTCTGTGAACGAAATCAAATAAGTAAACTTATAGAAAAAAAGCAATGCGTGACGCCATGCACTTAGTAGCTGCCTCAGGGTATATAAATGTTCATACATTCTCCAGACTGTTTTTCGCTTAGCATGTCAACAGAGTAGCGTTGATTTTGTTTTCGAACCATCTATATAGTTTTTGCTTCTTACTTATGGCTCGTCTTTTACTTGTGACGTTATGCCTTGTTTGTCTATCTTGGCAACAGGGTAAGCTATGACGAATGCTTTAAAAGTTGACTTCATCGTATTTTGTGCTATGAACGGACTTAGTACAGAAGCGAATCTTGTACAACCTAACGTTTTTCTTCATCTCAGTAAGGACAACGGGTTCTATATTTACCTAGATCCAAGAAAGCTGTTTAATTCTGTCTGACTTTCCATACGTACCTGTTTCAGTGTCTGCCGAGTCTGTATGTTACGACGATCTGGGATGTTTCTCCAACGACCCACCCTTTGATGTATTCAATAGTTTCCCGCCAAAGAGCCCCGACTACATCAACACTGAGTTCTTGCTGTATACTCGCGCAAATACAAATCGTTATTTGAAGGTAAGCATTCAAGTTAATACCCTGATTCTGGCTTCTGTATTCTGAATTACGTAAGTGTGACATCTCTTTGGGTTGCAGGTCAGTAAATAGGCCCAAAATTGCCTACACGGGTTAAATCATGATAGTATGCCCATGTTTTTTTTTTTTTTAGGCCATTAGAGCATTTTGTGGTACATGAACTAGAGGGTTTGTAAAAAAAAAAAGAAACAGGGTGGAAGCCGTGATTTGGACTGCGACATTGATATGAATTTCTGTGAAATTTTGATGAAATTAGGCCCTAAAGTTATTTTTTTATTTATTTATTTATTTATTTATTACATTTCTTTACCCAGGGTGTGCCCAAACAGTTTAAAACTGGTTTCCATTGGGGCCCTGCATACACTACTAATGTTCATACACACGTGTACAAATACAATACATTACAATTAGAATACACCACAATGAAATAAAATAAAAGCATACGAGATTACTGCATAATAGTACAGCAACTATTATAAATATTGTTGCTCTATTTGCAATGGAGCGAAGGCATTATTTTTCAAAATGGCTTCAGGAGTACTTTAGGGGTAATCATCTTTGGATGAAATTGTCCCAAAATGTCATCAGATTACAAAAAAAAAACCAGAAAATGAAAAATGAAATAAACTTTAATTTGATGGGTGTCTCAAACACCTTGGAGAGTTGTGAGTATTTTGCCTGATCCGAAAGTAGGCGCAACGGCAAGTAACCAAACATGCAGTATCCTGCGCGTTTCCGAAAATGTCCGAAGTTTACCGATAATATTTCGTTGACACAGGCATACATTTTATGTTCGCGATATGTCAGGTATTTCCGGGTGTAAGATGTTATTTTCTCTTTACTAGAAAATCCCCGTCATGCTTGGCATCAATACTAAAAATATTTGAGCTCATAGTTTTTTGTTCAAGGTTTGCGTTGAGTGCGTTCGATTACTTCCCCCAGCTTATCTCGCGCCTAGCTCCTCGCGTGAGAACAGGCATGCGCAGTGGAGCTAAATAAACGAACGGTTTTGGGTAAAGTTTCGTGCAAGAGCTGGAACAGGGGCGTCACCAGGATTTTTTTCTAGAGGGGGGGGGGCAAAACATATTTTGCCAAAAAAATCCTGTATTTCTCAACATATTTTCGATTTATTAGTTTTAGAGGGGGGGAGGGGCAGGGACATTTGCCCCCCCCCCCCCACTAATGTGACTTCTCGCCTCTCTTTCTTTTCTTTTTTTCTCTGTTTTTTCTCCCTTTTTTGGTGCTTTTCCGGGGGGGGGGGTTGCGCCCCCTCCCCCTTGGCCACCCCTCGCGACATTTATGGCTGGAAAGTTGAATTTTGACATGACACAGGCGGAAAAAATGTTGCATCCTGACGCCACTTTTTTCTTTATATATCATCTCAATGAAGGTCATTCATTGCAAAAATGATGATAAGACATGAATCTGGGACTGAGAAATATTTCCCATTTTTGTTAGGAAATACTCAGAAAATTTTCTTGACTCTCCATAAACTTTGTACACAATCGCGGAAGTGGCGTCAGGTTGCAACATTTTTCCCAGGCTGCATCCGAATCAATTAACTGTCTACAGCACGTCCACGCCCATTAAAAATTCGCGGGAACGCGCCGACAACAATTCGTAGCCGTAGCTCCGTGCATAGAGCTACTTTGTAGCTCTATGCTCCGTGGAAGTCCGTTTTGGACACGGCCTGAGGCGCCCGCCGGTCGTTGCATGGCCTTATGGGATACTTACCGAAGTAACCGGCTCGGCGAGTCGGTTACTTGGGCCAGGCTCGAGTGAGCGCGAGAAGTCACGTGAGGGGTAAAGCGAACGCTGTCGCGCTTGCACGAGTAAGCGCGGGGGAAGTAATCGAACGCACTGATTAAGAATTTCACTGCCAGGCGTATTACCCAGTAGCCGTATCCATAGTGTTACGAAGTCGCTTCAATCCAAGCAAACAACATAACAGACAAAATTGAAATAAAGGGAAAGGAACACTCAAATGAAAGAGGATCGGAATCAAAGAGTTTTTGGAAATGAAATTAGAATTAATTTAATTATTTACAAATCACAAATTAACACACATAAACCAGATTAAATAAGCAGATGGGAAAGCGATTAATTATACATTACAAATCAAGTAACTCATACGGTTGGCCATTGTGGGACTGAGAGGGGAGGTACCTCCAGAGGGTGGAATCCTGGACTGGAGTCTGCCGGAAAAGTTCGGAAGTCCTGAGAGAGTTCTTGTCATGACTTGCGTCTTGATCGGCGACCTCCGAGACCGGGCGCTTGGTGTAACGGACGGTACAGGTGTAGACCGGATCAGGGGAACGATTGGGCTAGCTGACCAGTCGACGAAGTGCCATAGCGGAGGGGCGTGGCATCGGCGGGAACGGCACCATGATACTGGCCCAAGCCAAGGAGAGCCAAGTCGGCGGTCAATCTGGCCGTCGTGGTGGTAGGAACCGTGCCCCGTGCAGACGGCAACGGGCAAGGCACGGCCAAGTCAGCGGCCTCAGCAAGCCAGACGGTCGGGCGGCATGGCATCGCTGGAGAGCGAGTCCCTTGACCACACCTCAGCAAACTACAGTTCAGAATCCGCAGAACGGCGAAATTCCAGAGCTTTTAGGTCCGGCAGGGAATTCCAATGTCCATTCCACTGGTAAGGAATGTGGGTTGGACTTCAGCGCGAAGTCCCAGTGCGGGACCAAAAGTTCGTTGCAACAAAATGGGGATTACGCAGGACGATCGCGGGCCATTGGCCTAATTTACATGAGGTTAATTTGCTTAAAATTTAAACAATTTACGAATTTTTTACAATAGCAAATAAAAAATACAGACGTTGTGCCTCAATTATCGCTCATAGGGGGATCTTTACTGGGGACGTCTCTATAGTCCGAAGTACCATTGGTCTGACGTCCCATTGGTCCGATGTCCCATTAGTCCGACGTCCCATTGGTCCGACGTCCCATTGGTCCGACGTCCCATTAGTCCGACGTCCCATTGGTCCGACGTCCCATTGGTCCGACGTCCCATTGGTCCGACGTCCCATTGGTCCGACGTCCCATTGGTCCGACGTCCCATTGGTCCGACGTCCCATTGGTCCGATGTCCCATTGGTCCGACGTCCCATTGGTCCGACGTCCCATTGGTCCGACGTCCCATTAGTCCGACGTCCCATTGGTCCGACGTCCCATTGGTCCGACGTCTCATTGGTCCGACGTCCCATTGGTTCGACGTCCCATTGGTCCGAAGTTGGTCCGAAGTCCTATTTTTCCGACAGCCCATTGCTCTATACGTTCAGTTGGTATAAACGTCCCATTGGTTCGAAGTCCAATTGGTCCGAAGTCCCATTGGTCCGAAGTCCCCATTGGTCCGAAGTCCCATTGGTCCGACGCCCCATAGGATTAGGGTATATAGGGTTAGGGTCAGTCGACCTGAACCAGTGGAACCACACAGTATTATGTTTCATCGGACCAATGGGACGTCGTACCAATGGGACGTCGGACCAATGGGACGTCGGACCAATGGGACTTCGGATCCATGGGACTTCGGACTATAGAGACTCAACCGGCTTTACTGCGTTATTTCCTATTTGTGAATGTGACGGTTTCCTGATCTACGATCTGGTCTGAGACGTCAAGATCATCTGGTCAGGGAACCTGACTAAAAGGATCAAGAAGATGATCATTCAGGATATACCCTCGCCCTGCCCCTACTAAAGAAAAAGAAGAGGAAAGTGTACCTGCTGCTTAATGAGAAACAGGTGCATCGTGATTAACAAGATGCTGCATTTTTAGGATTTGTGTAGTATCCTTTTGTGGTGTTTTAAGGAAATATCTCGCTACAGATTAATGATAAAAAATGATGACCTGAAGTTTTAACTGTTCCATCATCATGAAATACCGCGTACGTTTCTTTTGCCATAATTATGTCTAAATTACCCCAATTGGAACGTTAATGTTTATATTGATGCTTCTATCCTTTGACTTGACTGGACTTAAAGGCCGAGTTCGGGTGGTCTTGTCTTGACACGGGTATATTGTTCTCGTGCTCCAAAGGCGGGAACACTGCACTCGGAACAGGATCACACACCACCTATCCGTGGTTTTTTTTTGCAAGAACAATATACCCGCGTCAAGAACAGACCGCCCAAACTCGGTCTAAGTGCTAATGCCAGTTGATTCTCGTCTCTTCTTCTGTACCTGAGGTAGTTGACGTGAGTTTTTTTCTGTAAATGGAAAATTAACCTACCCTTTGACCTGTGCAGGTTGATAGAACTGATGCATCCTCCCTTCAGAGTTCTACCTTCAATTCCGGTAGGAGAACGGTGTTTATCATCCACGGCTACACGGAGAAAGGATCCGAGTCTATCTGGATGAGGGATCTCAAAGACGCACTACTCGCAGTGGTACGTGTTTATATATGCGGTGCGATCGGTGTTTTTTAAATAGGTTTCTAAGGCCTTGTGTCCAAAATAAAATGACAGGATTGAAATAAGTTACATTTCAAAATGTTCACTGATATCGGGACGGCGTATACATACTAAAGAAATGTATCATATATTTAGGCCTATTTGAAAAGCAATGTACTGTCTTGTTTACAAGAAATAAAAGTTCAATCTATATCGGAGTGAAAATTCACTTAATACGACTAAACATTTCAGCTTTTAGATCCACTCAATCGAATGGATCGAATTTTCATTCGATTTTCCACCGAATTGACCATTTTTCGATTTTTCTCAAGCTACAATTTTTAATTCTCTCTCTAAATCATCTCGTCCTTTCACTTTATGAAACGTGGCAGTTCATTAACTCTTAGTGTTTGCACAAGTAATGTCTGCTCTTGGCCTTGGTTCATGGGATTCATGTGGCAAACAACACATGTTTTTTTATATAGACGTATTCTTTGTTTAATTAAACTTGCTTCTCTCCCTCTCAGGAAAATCTGAACGTGTTTATAATTGACTGGGGCAATGGTGCCAGGAACCTGTACGGTCAGTCAGTGCAGAACACACGCGTTGTGGGTCGTGTCATTGCCAGATTCATGCAGTTTCTTAACACTGAGACAGGTGCAAACTTCGCTCGTATGCACATCATAGGTCATAGCCTTGGTGCACATACTGCCGGCTATGCCGGAGCCTTCCAGTCTGGTATCGGCAGAATCTCAGGTAGTAACGAAGTTTCCATCTTCTTCCTCCTCGAAATAACGATGAACTTTCATTAATTTCAATATTTTTCATCCTGTTTTTCTGAGCAGCTGGTAGCCATCTCCCTTGAAAGGTGTGACTTAAGATTTATATATTTTTTAATGCTTTCCGAACAAGAGTCTATCTGTTTCAGATGATGTTATGAACCGAGTTCTCCTCTTCTCACTTTTTATTTCATTGGAAAATATTCACTACATGGAACACTGGTTAGATTATTTTGAAGTTACAAAATCTTTGACTTTTCTTCTTTCTTTTTCTCTCTCGCGAAATATCGCGAATTCAATAGCTCTGAGTCTCCGATGCTGCAATATCAGGGTACAGTCGATCATGTCGGTCGGCCTGATTGAGGTCAGGATGTTGGATAAATATCCTTGGCGCACTCTCTACAAATATATGCAAGTTGAAGTCGTAGGGCCTACTTACCAAAAAAACTGAAGTGGTGCTGCAATAAACCGTGATAGGACTAATAACAAACCCAGCATTAAAATCGGTCATTTAGCGACTCGTGTTCAATAATTCAGTCACTATCCAATAATTGATGATGTGTGAAAATTTCAAAAACTAAATCGAATTACTATATTGTTAACTAGTTTCATTTTTTTGTCAGGTCTTGATCCTGCCGGTCCATACTATACTTCCAATGATCCGGCTTGTCGCTTAGACGCAAGTGACGCCATCTTTGTTGACGTCATTCACACCGATGCGGAAGCTGTTGGGGCAGGCATTGTTGCAGCAGTAAGTAAAATAATCATTGTGTTACACAAATTCCTTCCTAGCCCTGCGCTGTGCGATAGTACTGACATTGTCATCTAGTTATTAGATAGGCCTACTTATAATAATTATAATTATCGAAAACGGTAAGGAGACGTGCCTATAGACTTGTGCACAAACTAAAACCTTCCCTTAACTCCATATATAGATGCTCTCCCGCCCCAAACTTATTTAATTATACAATTGCCGACCGAAGGATTCGTTTAAATAAAGTAGCTTGTTACACTAAACTTCGTTCTATAAAAATGGTAGTTCAAAGCTAAAAATCTTCCTAATGGTCAATGTCTCCCTAATGTAAAATAATTTAAAAGAAAATGTCTCCATCAGGTACCATTTTGTTGTAATAATAATAGCAAGATAACTAAGGTTGCTAATTCAAGGTTTACTTCAGTCAATGTACCAGACAATGAGACGATCCAATCTCAACTTATCAACATGATATTCCGACTGGTTTCTAGTTCTTGAGAACTAAAAGCTAGCAGACTCAAAATTTGGAAATTTGACTTGTTCAGCCCATTTTTTTCAAAAACAATTCACTCGAAAGGTAAAACACTAAGAATTCAGTGTTTATACGTCGGCGAAGGGCAAAACTTAATATTAAATTTACATCACCCCGTCGCAAATATTCCATCTTATGAATAGTTTCATTGCGGTATCCGCTGCTACATCAGATTCGAACCAGTCAACCGATTTTGGCCAGCTCGTTGGTCGAGTGGTAAGACGGACGTATGCACTAGAAAGCAGGAGGTCGTGGGTTCGAGTCCCACCCGAGTGATTTTTTTCGCTTTTATACAGTGTATACAGTGTATACACTGTATACGAGAATACAGTGTTTATACGTCTCGAATTCAACCTAATAATGAATTTACATCACCCCGACGCAAAAAAAATTCCAACTAATGAATAACATTTACCCTTTTTTCAGTGTGGACACATGGATTTCTACCCCAACAGTGGCAAGGAACAGCCTGGTTGCCCTCCAAGCCTCGTTGACATTTGTACGTGAGCACTTAAGTTGAATTTGTTATCAGTTGTCTACGTTCTATTGATTGTCATTAGTATAAGGTGGAGCCTTGATAATCAGTGATGCCCAGGTCGTTTTAGACGGCTATTGACGGTTCTCGACTTTTGGACCAAAACACAGAGTCTTTGAAGAGTGCGCGGGTTTCTTTACACATAATTACATATATAAAACTAGCTAAAACGAGAAGCTTTGTTTTGAATAGACATTTACCACCAAAGTAAAGTATCTTTTACGACAGTTGATAACTGTATCTTATACGAATGCAAATCGATGCCTAATTGTAATTTCATTTTATAATGACGTTTGTTAACAAATTGGAAGTTGTGTCATATGATGCCAACTTTCAGTGAACGGTTGTATTCTGCACTGCAAGTATATCTTTTGGGAGGGGGCAAATGAATGGTTAAAAAGTTTAGACTGTTTAATTTGGGCCAAATAACAAGCATTTTAACAATAAGATGATTTAATATTTGGGTTACCGGCGGTTGCCTGGCAGCATGACGTCACACGGTCCATTGTCTACATAATTCCTATTAGTTCAAATGGACCCCTTGCAAAGTTCTGTTTTAACGGAGGTTTGAAGAGCCTGCTCCGACCACTTGTGGGTGGTCTGATTTGTAATGAGGGTATGTGCATATATACATTCAGAATGAGAAATATACTTTTACTAGAGATCGTGATAATTAATATTATAACATGATAACCCTAAGAAGTTCTAAAGTTGAGTAACCTGGATTGTTACTATACGCGACAGAGGTTTGGTTCGACAGCTCAGCCTAGCTCGCTTTAATTCAGTATGGTCATTCCAATGCTTCCACAGGGTAAGTACAAAAAAAGGAAACCCAAATGGTGCCCCCTTTAAAAAACAAAAACAGTTCTGCATGAAGCGCTTTCCAAATCTAGGATATGAAAAACAAATTAATAAGCTTTCTTTTAGTGAAAGAATCATTTAAATCGCTCATGTACTTTTCCAGTTATGGAATTTTGAGCACAAGCACCGTTTTTAACCTTGCCCACAGATCACAGATCACTTCAGTAAAAAAAAATAAGGAATCCATGTCGTATCCTGAAAATTATATCAGAATATTCCCATAAGCCTTCGGGGTAGCCAAATGGAAGGCAGGGCAAGACTGTAAACTCTTGACATTATAAAGCATATTATTTTTAGCAGGTTTTTAAATCAATGTTATGATAAGTGCCATAAAGTTATCATGTTTATAAAAGTGTTCTGACGTGTTTTTTTGTATATGTGAATAGTTTTCGTTTTGCTGAAATATCACTTACCTTTATTGTGATCCGTGGACAAGGTTAGAAACAGTGTTTGTGTTTAAAATTCCATAACTGCAAAAGTGCGTGAGTGATTTGAATTCTTTAATTAAAAGAAATCTTATTAATGGGGCTTCCATACCCTGGATCTTGAACGCGCTGCATGCAGAACAACTTCTTTAAAATAGGGGTTGCTATTTGAGTTTCCTTTGTTTTGTACTCACCCTGTACAGAATATTAAAATTCTTAACAATTTCCTTATCTGTATTGATCACAAGCAGTCCTGTTGCGCATCTAAAATAAGTATTAATCATTTAAAACATAAAATGCTGCATATGACAAATGAGCAAAAACCTTATGTAAAGATATAATGGTCAGTAATGTTATCTTGTTTTTGTTTTTATATTTTTGCACTTAAAGCGGACCCCTTATCTGAGATTCCTTGCAGTCACGTTCGTGTTTTGGACCTGTACATTGAGAGCGTAACTCAGTGCGATTTCGTCGGCTACCCATGCTCCAATTGGGACAAGTTCGTTAATGGGCAGTGCACTAGCTGCAGTTGGAGAGGATGTCCCAAGATGGGATACTGGGCCGATCTGTCTTCAGCATCTGGCAACTTCTATTTACAAACTGGTGCAAAGTCGCCATTCTGTAATTTCTAGGTTCAACTTATGAAGATAAGATTGTCTTGAAACCTAAATGAGTACAAGAATAATTTATTTAATAAAAATAAAATCCTTTACATTAAAAACTGCAATAAATCGAATACCTCCGGTTATGTCATCATTGGTCATTTGTGATACACAAGACACGAGTTATTTTAAATTCCGTATACGGACGATAGCGTAAACACTCCTAATGTTGGTGTCATGGCAAAGTGACAATCTGCATAATATTTACATTTTCCCAGTGACGATCCAAGGAATAATAAGCACATAGAAAGTACTAAAATATGAATGTTATTAAAATATGAATGTTAGCAGAAACTTCATAAACTTACTCAAAAAAGCTTCACGGTAATATTGAAACTTCAGTGTAAGATTAAGATCGAGAGGTGTTCTAGTCATCCAACTCACCGGATGCTTACCAAACGAAGTAGCAAACAAAGTGAATGAAAGTTGAGTGAACATGCATGACCAACTTTCTCAAAACAAGATTTGTCAGCTCAATTCACACGTAATACATGACATTTATTTTGATTTAAATGTTAACAGAAATAAAAACCAGCAATTAGCATACATGTTAAAATACAATTAATTGTCGGTGTCTCGTTAACTGAACCTTTTTTAGGGGGAATATAACAATTTGAAATACACTGCGATGCAGAGCAATATAGGGGTTGAGATATTCGACGTGTACTTTTAATTGAACATGATATTTTGCGTAAAAAAGCCCAGTTTTTAAAGGATAGTCGTGTGGACGTTTATATCCTACTTTTAAACGTTCTTTTCGATTAACATCATTTCGTTCAAATCGCGTTTTGTAGCCCAATTGGGCTGTTCCAGGACGCAGTGTCCCTTTAAGCGGGCCGGCCCGAACCCCACCCAGTCAGGGATTCGCGCTTCGCGTTCGCATTAATTTTGATCAAGGCATGTCCCCCCCCCCTCCCCCCCCCCCCCCCCCCACACACACACACACACCGTCGTTTTTTGTTATGCTTCCGAGGATTGGCTTTGTGTTTTCCTTTGTCCCTGTAATATAACACTCTCCCATAGACTAAGCACACAAACCTGCGTTCGAGGACAATAGGCACCTTCCTTCGAGGATCAATGGCCCCTTTGTGCTCCTTTTGTTGTCTGTCCTCAGGCGTAATGCCATGCTGGAACACCCAGGTTTACGTTACATACCTTGTGTGGACATTCCTTTGTTTTCGTGTAGTTAAGAAAACTCGGTACAAAAAATAACTGTACTTAAACTGTGAAAACTCTTTTAACCCAATTTTTTTTCTATGATTCCCTATAGTGTTTCTCTTCATTCTGCTGCGGATAAACCTAACCCAAAAATGCCTCTAAACCTGTTTTCCAGAAAGGGCAAAACCTTATGTGGACACGGCTTAGTCCACATAACGTTAACACAACCTGCATTATGTGGACATCTCTTGTTCACAAGTCCACATAGGGAATGTAAGACAAACTCACACTTTTGAGAAGCGATTGACGCCCTTGGGTGTAGGAGCGGGACTGATTCCATCCCAGCCATCCTGGAGGACACTTGGGAGTAATCAATCTTGGTAAGAATTAAAACAATTCAAATCACGTACGTTCCACTTTTACCCAAAGCATTCATGTTTACTGTTGAGCGTACATCCGTTGCCTATTCTATAATCTGAGCTTATATTTGTATACCAACCCCATAGGCAAAAGTCAACGCGTTTCTCGTCTACCCAGCTTTCGTCATCTACGAGTCGTCATTAAGCATTTCTGTCAAGCCGTTTAGGTCCCTTATTACCAGGGGCATAAATCCCGGCGGATGGGGGTATATAACCCCCCCCCCCCCCCCCCCCCCCACTTTTTGACCGGGGGTGGGCTATTGAATCATCCCCCACACTTTTTCGTGATGAGAACCAACAAATGTGGATTTCGGGGTATTTTGCGAAATTCCCAACAACCAAAATGTATTCAATAGCACTGAAAAATGGAGAGAAAAAAAGTACAAAAACTTAAAATGCGCCATTTTGATGTAAGCGCGAGTATACATAAAGATGTACATCTGTATCCTGAACATTGCCCTCTAGTTTAATGTGGTACCGAAACGGTACCCCGCAAGTCGGTCGGCATTCCTTGTGGGGTACCTCCATTGTTCCGGTACCCCACAAGGCAGTGGTTGTACACGCAGATTTACGCCACTGCTTATTACCATCAGTTTCAAGATATACATAACAACGATCATGTAATGACTTGACAGCCATCATTCAAGATGGTTTATAGAAATCGATTTTGAAATTATTAAGTTTTTACAGTCAAGCCTTTGTCATTTGAAAAACAAAAGTTGGTGATAGTGATTTTATGTCCTGGTCAGAAGTGACAGGGTTTCGGAAAATTTGGGAAAGTCGCACAATTCAAAAGATACCCTCACTAATCATTTTAAACGATTATGTTATACATTTTAATGGGATGTTTTAATCAGCAGTCTGGGTTAGTATGGCTTCAGTTATTGCTTCTTGTTATTTTCAGTATTGTGGCATGTACTCAACAAGCCTGAAACCTGACATGTGTACTGTTTACCACAATTTCGGAATTTGTTTTTCTTCCGTCGAAATTTTAACCCGTACTTTTCATTAAAAAAAACTCGGGTTTTTTTTCTAGTTGGCTCTATAAATAGACTGGTTCCCAATCCCTACATTTCGATTCTGATAGAGGTGAGAACTTGTTTACCCCGCAAACCTGAATTATCGTCGGGCCGCAAATTATTCAAAATTTGTAGCGTAACGATTGCTGAATTGTTTTTCGTTTATAGCCTCTCATTCAAAAGTGAATAAGTTGTAATTATTTTTTTTTTATATTTTCAATCTAAAATCTAAGCTAGCACGGAAAGTACATCCAACATCCGTTGCAATGTAAGATTGGTCCTAAACTGAATGAATCAATTTTGTGTTATATATTTATACCACAAAGGATTTTTCATCTCGCCACACACTGCTACTACTAACAAACTTAAGACTAACTAAGTTTACGACTAACACAGGGTCGTACTATAGGTATTATATCAGTAGGTTATAGTATAAATCCGATTACAAGAAAACTGATAACTACTAAGAAACACAAGAAGATAGTTTACCATTTCCCAACAACATGTATGTTATCATTTTATGATACTGCACCGCATCCTCGATTCCTCGTCTTTATCTTTGATAATTACAAGGGCAAATATCCAGAATTAGAAATCCTATTATTAGTTTGGTGAAGAAAAGTAAACTTTGATAACACTTTTTAAAGGATGCATAATGGGGTTAAGAGACGATATTTTTACGGAAGGTGGTATAAAAGGGCCTCTAGGGGCGAGTACAAATCAGATTGACTGCATTTTTTCAGCAACATCTTAACTTTGAATTGATTTTCAGAAGTTATCCTTCTTCTGCTCAGAAATATATTTTGTTGTTGTTCAGTCATCCGATTACTGTCAACATGAACCGACCACTGTTTATAACATGTTGCCTGTTTAATCTGTGCTTTCAGTCAGGTAAGGTTAAATGTATATGATTGCACTTACTGAGTTTAAAAAATGCACTTGTGATCAACATCATTTTCCTGAAAGAGGTGACAGCTGAGGGGAAAAAGGGTTCTACTAATAATGTGCATTTATTTTCAGTGAACAATTTCGGACTACAAAACTGAGTAGGCCTACATGTTTAAAAATCGTGTTTATTTACCGGGATTCGGTGTCCTTCCAATCCCGTTTTATCAAGCAGGTCTGAAAATATAGAAGCGTAAATTAACACAAATCTAAAATAGCATTATAGCAAACAAGGTTTATCTCTTCATTCACTATTAAATCAATTCATGACGTCATTCTTCGTTTTCATGTCCAAGTCCAATAATCATCATCTACTATTTGCTCATCTGATGAAATGATGTTTTGCCAACTTTCTCAGTTTTTTCCGAGGAGATTTGCTACGATGACCTGGGTTGCTTCTCAAATGACCCGCCCTATGATGTCTTCTTCAGATTCCCGCCAAAAAGTCCAGACTATATCAATACAGAGTTCTTGATGTACACCCGCCTAAACACTGATTTGTATATGAAGGTAAAATACAAGTTTCTCCCACCATTCTCCATATCAACAGATAATGTCACAACCCCTTCGTGATTAGCCAATGGGCACTTTTTGTCGATTTCAGGTCGAATGCTGCTGTATCTGTTGCAATGAATTGACAGTTATCAATGGGCATTTTAATCACTAAAAGCTGCTTGCGACTGAAATGAAACTAATAAATGTTGCTGAAGAAATCCTGAAATACAGGGTGAGTCAGAAAAAGCGGAACCCAAACCCCCCAAAAATATATTTCATATTTTAAAAAGCATGTATGCACCAAAAATAATAATGACTGGAAAGCCAATTTAAGAAACTACTTTTAGATGGAAAACAAATACTGAAATTGTTCAATCCGTTCAAAGAATATCACCATTTAAACGCAGTGACCATAAAACCTCTTTCGTCAAAAAGAAAATTTATTGTGTGTTGTGACTGTCCTGAACAACAAAGAAAATGACACAGAATACTTGTTTCAACAAGTGTCAACAACTGTAGTGCACAATATCTTTATTAACAACCCTGCTTAGACAAACAATATGATATATAAAATCTACCTTATTTCAAAAAGACGGGCCTTCAAAAGGACTTTGTTGAAATTTATAATTTTTAAACTGAGATTTTATCGTTAGTGATGTTTGAAGACAATGTGACGACGAATTTTGAAATCCCATTTTTGGGCGAAAGAGATCTTAGGGTCATTGTGTTTAAATGGTGATATACTTTGAACAGATTGAGCAATTTGAGCAATTTTTTACCTAAAAGTAGTTTATGAAATTGGCTTTCAGGTCATTATTATTTTTTGGTGCAACATATTATTTTAACATGAATATAATTTTTGCGGGTTTTGGTTCCGCTTTTTTTACTTACCCATCATTCTTCATGTCTTCATGTTTCAAAATAACAAAAGGTTTTCCTTTATCTTCCCTTTAAAGTTTGGCCTCTCTGCAAAAACATTAACAATCAGTGACTGAATCCTTTGCCCTTTGAACCTCTGCAGATAGACAGAACAGACCCATCCTCCCTACAGTATTCTACCTTCAACGCCTTGAGGAGGACAATATTTCTTATTCACGGTTACTCGGAGAAAGGAGCCAGGTCGGAATGGATGAAGGAATTGAAAGACAAGCTTCTTGCAACGGTAAGGCGTGTCCTCATTATGTCAGTATTTCCTGCAAATTGCTTTTAAATATTAAATTAAAGCTATAGTCCATCATTTGTAATTTGTGCATTTTGTTCGTTTGAAGCAACAAAAGGGTTCAAAATCTAATGAAGGATACTGAACAACTAACCTGATGAAGTTTCAGCTAAGCTTCAGCTGTACATTCCGAGAAAAATAGCATTCTAAGATCTCAATTTCAAATCAAAAGTTACTGAATCATGTTTTGAATTGTTTTGAATTGCAGCTATACGCGACGTAGCGCACGAATCATAACAACCGCGCGCGCGTGTGCGTCGTTCCAATACTTGTGCGCGCTGCGTTGAATAACAAAACGAACTACTAATTTAAATTTTCCTACGGTGCTTCTTAAGAATCACCGTTGGAAATGCCTTCTTTCGTTGATTACTTCAATATGACAGCTTCCCAGAAGGAATAATTTCACAGGGAGTTTAGTTCCCTTACTATCTTTCAACCAAGTTTGTTTTTCAACAATAATTACGCCAGTTACTTTTCGGATGGCTGCAAATGATGGACTATAGCTTTAAAAGGCTATATGATTAACAAGCAGTTGTTCCGTCTTGAGGGATCGGGGTTCAATTAATCGGAAATTAGGACACTATTGTTTTAAGTCACAAACTTCTTGGTTGGAATAGCCACTGTCACATATTTGTATTGAAATTTTCTTGGTATATAGAACTATTACATGCGTCACTATGTTAGAATTCTCCTTCTCTGTAATTATGTTGCACCCATAGGAGAATCTGAACGTATTTCTAGTAGACTGGGGAGCTGGTGCCAGGAACCTGTACGGTCAGTCAGTGCAGAACACACGCGTTGTGGGTCGTGTCATTGCCAGATTCATGCAGTTTCTTAACACTGAGACGGGTGCAAACTTTGCTCGTATGCACTTAGTTGGTCATAGTCTTGGGGCGCATATCGCTGGCTATGCTGGAGCATTCCAGTCAGGAATTGGAAGAATAACAGGTAAGAATTTCTCCGTTCGCTTTTTCTTAAAGATTTCTGCAATTAGCGTTGCTTATTCCTTTGTATACCGGTATATCATTGGAAGGTACAGAACGTCCGAGTTTACAAACGGGACCTTTCGGTGCGTCCCACTTCTGGGCACTCGCATTTCTTCGTCATACATCAAAGAATACTGACCTTTCATCTATATATACTAAGCGCAGACTGTTTGGCGGATTTTACATAAAATTCACGCACGGAGATAAAAAGAAGATAACTGAGTAAATAGTTTTGCGGATTAAAGTGATACCATTCCGTTGTAATGATGATTGTAGTGATAATAACATCTCTTTGTTTTTCCCCTGAGGTCTTGATGCCGCCGGACCAAACTTTTCCGGCAACGATCCGGCTTGTCGTCTGGATCCTACTGATGCCATCTTTGTTGACGCCATCCATACTGATGCAGAATTGCTTGGGCTTGGAATTGTTCAAACGGTAGGTTCACTTTACCCAAAATAATTAGTTCTGATGTTGATATTTCGTACAATCGTTTTTGTGGCTTTGCTAGTTTTTTGTTGATGGGTTTTGTGTCTTATCGGCATAATTTTATTTTCATTCACTGCAGGTTGGTCACATGGATTTTTATCCTAATGGCGGAAAAGAGCAGCCTGGTTGCCCAGCTACCGTTGGTGATATCGTTTGTACGTTTGTATTTTGTGTATCTGTGGTCACGTGACATTGTTATCAAATAACGTGGCTCACATTATATCTCACAAATTAAAACTGGCAGTGTTTTTTTTATTTCATGAAAGGAAAAATATATGTTTAACTTTGTACTTTTAATTGGTTCTTGATTCTATAGTGGCTCCAATGGAAGTCAGCTGCAGCCACAGCCGTGTCCTTCAGCTCTTTATCGACAGCTTCGACTCAACACAATGCGAGCCTCGCGGCTATCCGTGTCGTAGTTGGGACAACTTTGTAAATGGGCAGTGCAATGACTGTGGTCTGGTAGGCTGTCCTCCGATGGGATACTGGGCTGACCTTTCACTGGCGACTGGAACTTTCTATCTACAAACGGGTGATGAGTCGCCATTTTGCAAACTCTAGAACCTCTTGTTGTCATGGTTGAAGAAGGTTCAACATGAATTGTAATTAGAGAGTGTATATAAGTACAGAAAAATATAGGAATATAGGAATCAAGGAGTGAAAACTTATTTTTGTGATATTTTGAAATCATGTTTAACCCCCTCCTCAGTCTATAGCTACCTACCTAGTCGTCCTCGCCTATTCATCACCTAACTTACTAACCCTTGTGACATATCATACGTTATCATCTCCAGTAAGCCATATCGTATTGTGTCGTGTTGTCCGATGCGATGATATAACATGCTTAAATTATAGATACATAACTTATTTCAACTGATAAAGTGTAAATATCGTCGAAAAAAATACATTCGTATGAGTGATTTATTCAAATATAGTGTATCCACCTTCTAATTCTTAGGTTTTCTGTAATTAAGCCTATGTCGGTCCATCCATATTCAACTTGTCTGTCCGTTTGTAGGCCTATCTCAGCTAGCTGCCTGAGATTCTTTTCGGATTTCTGCAAAATCTAGCGGCAAACATTGGCCAAGTTCGGGCAAGGACCATTAGTCGACTAGTGGTTGATTTGTGACGTACCTTACGCCTGCGCACTAATAGCAAAGTGCGAACGTCTCTAGTCGAACGCTGGTCAAAATGTCATCGCAAAACGTCTGGATCCTGGCTCCCTGTTGTACGTTATGAACGCGCGCGGCTATGGTTACCAGCGAAGCAACCAACCTCAGTAGGTTGGTTCCAAATAGTCGACTAGCATAGTTAACCATCGTCGACTAGACAGAGTTCGGGCAAGCGTTAGTCGACCAATGGTTAACTATAGTCCTTGCGCGAACTTGCCCATTGTTGTCTGTCGTGCCATATGTGCCATGCACACTAGTTGTGGAATATTGCGCCCTCGTTCGTTGACCACGTGCGTGTCTTTTATGGAAATTGCTTCCAACAGAGAGCGCCCTATTGGTACTTCGTAATCAACTTAACTGCAATGAAAATAGTGCCCCTGTCGGTAGACTGCCTAGCCTGCTACATGCACTAATGCTAAAAGTCAGCTCATAAATATGACTACGCGTATTCGTCAGTGACATTGCACCCACACAAATATCAGTTTTGTTCTGTTTCCACTTGGGGGGGGGGGGATAAGAAATTATGAAATGGACATTTGAAGCGAAACAAACAATTCGGCAAGATGTAGTCTTACAGGGCGGTGGAACCGGGGGGGGGCAGGGGGAGCACTTGCAACCTCCCCCCCCCCCCCCGCCGATTTTCCCAGCCCAACAAAAGTGCCCCTCTCGCGGTATAAACGTGCCCCCTAGAGATGAAAACAAAACTGCCCCTCAAACGCACACATGAAAGCATATGATCGCGCTACTAATATGTCTCTTCTCTTGTAATGCAAAACGGCCCCTCAAAAGCACAACTGCCCATCTCGCATTAACAAGATTGTGCACCTTCTCGAGATGGGAAAACTACCAGTATACCCTTCGAGAGCGCAAATACCCCTCTCGCAAAAATAATATTGTGCCCCTCACGAGGTGGAAAATCGGGCCATCAGAAACAATTTAGTGCTCCACTCGCGATAACTTCTTGAGATATAAAACTGCCCTTCGAAAGCACAATTTTATCAGTGCCCCACTCGCAACATTAAAATTATGCCCCTCTCATGGAAAACTGACCTTTAAAAATATTAGTGCTCCTCCTCACGCGGATACAATGGTCACTGGGCTGGCCATCAAAAGCACTGGACAGTGCCCCTCTCACGATCTACGTAACTAGTCATGTTCATGGGCGGACCCACACTGCATGCCAGGGCGGAGGGTGTACTGTGCGGTGTGCCGAAGGCCCAAGGAGGGATCCAAGGGGGGGGGGGGGGGAGGGGGGCAACGGCTCCATTTCAAGTTGTGTGAACAACCTTAAATTACCGTTTTAGTATTCAAGAACAAATGTAGACCGTTTATGGGATTGCACCCATGATCTGCTCACAGTCCAACCCCACTAAATCCGGGATCCATCGGCTGTAAGGTAAATCTTCGCAACGTTATACATTCTCTTTCTCCAGCAAGTACTCTAAAACAGATTGGTTGAAATATCCAATAATTGGTTGAAACAGCCAAATATTGGTAGATATTGTGTCCAACCACTGATCGGATTGGTTGGACAAAATGTATCTACCAATATTGGTTATTTGAAGCAATCTGTTTATAAATAGACGAAACAAAAGTGCTCAGCGAGGGGAGGCCAAGTATACCGACAATGCCGGATGTGATAGGTCCTAAATGAAATTCGTTTTTAACCGTCTATGATTTTCCCTACAATTGTATTTAAAGAATACCCAGATTAAATTTCAACATGAGTGCTTCTTTCGAGTCGTTACGGTCAGAAATCATTCTACAAACATTTGAGATGGTCAGTAGGGGATCCAGAGGGGGCGCATCGACTGCGCTCCTCCACTTTTTGTTTACAGTTATTTTTATTGTTTTATTTATTGGTGTTTTTTTAGGAGATACGTCTTGTCTTTTTATCCTTTTTTTTCTTTGCCGTCAACTGGTTATTTAATCACTTCAAAGACAGACATTTGTACCCAGATGAACAAATATATGCCCCGCTTGTATGATTCGGTGCCCCCTTCCGTAATGCTGGATCCACCACTGACTGTGAAAGGGCAACCTAATGTAAAATTCCCATAGGCGGGTTGCGCGAGAGCCCTGGAAAACGTCAGGTTCTATGATAACCCTGTGCAAGTATAGATAAATGATTTATTGATTTTGCTACTATATATTGCGCGATTACAGGACAGGTTCACTATATACAGACGATTAGCTACCAGTTGAATTTATCGCTGTGCCCTTAGCAGATACAGGAATTTATACCCAAATCCAGAGTTGTGGACTATAAAACAGTGGCGTTTCACAGCATGTGCTATGCACGTGGAATGATGCCAATCGTTTAAACGGCCAAGGTCATATGGCTTTGAAAAAATGATGAACCTAATTTGTATATTAAATTGCGAAAAAATAAGGGTGTGCAGTGAGGTAAAGTGCGGGGCCTACTGGCGGGAAACCTATCCCACCCATTGTTTGTACTCCCGCCTTCAAATTGGGGAAGGCTTAATGATCTTTTTATTACAAAAAAAACACCAGTGAATGTCCTCATCAGAAAATAGGGCCCCCTTGCGCCCCCGGCCAAGAAATGAACCCCAGATTCGCCACAGTTTTGATACAAACGTTACATATATTTTTATACGTTTGCAGAAATTATTAAACTAATTTAAAACGAAAATGCAAAAGATAAACATAGAGGTTAAGTTTCACATTCAAAACATGATGCATATGTAGCTTGACTTTATCACCAAAAAGTTTTTTCATCTCAGGTAACGTGATTATCAACTCCCAGAAAAAAAATCACACGATGTCTTTCCCAACGATCGTTTTGTTTTTGCACGAGAAGGAGCAGGGTACCGAGAGAAGGCTACCAATCAGGACGCAAGGAGGAGCAGCGAGTGAGGCAAATACACCAATGAGATGTTACCGGCATAATTTATTGATGCATTATAGATCGGGCATCGCGAGTTATATGGGAGACGTATGAAACTGGGTCACTGAATATTATGTACATCTTCATGATCTGTACATGCGCGTGACAGTGGTGCATGAGTGACAAAATCACTGGAGCAAGCTTGTTATAACAATCAAGCTATCCAGAGGGATTGTTCGTCTAAAAGAGTAAGTAATTTGATTTCCTCAGTTACTTCTAAAACCCTATCAGTTCATGGATCTATCATTTACGCAACCGCTAAAACACATTTTGCATTGCTTTATCAGCGTGTATACGGTCCGGTTGTGGCATAATTATATGCGATCGATTGATGTAATCAATATGATACCAATATTAATAAATAATTCACAATTTATATGATTAACACTGAAATTGGTGTGGACGCCCACGAATTTTGATTCCGATATTATTTGCAGGCAGCACGGAAAATTCCAAATGAAATGTTTAATCCCTATATTATTACTGTGACTTTTGGGCACTGTTATAGTATGCGAACATCTAAAATTATTTCAATGACCTTCAAAACTCTAATTTTTTTATGCTTTAAAAACGGGCTGTTAAATCGGAGGAACAAATCATTCACTAGGAAGTGAAGTTGGTCATTTGGGAAGTCCAGATTTGTGGGAGCTTTGGGCGACTGATGATTTAGTGTTATTAATTTGTTTTATTTAATTTATTTTATTTGTATTTTATTCGTTGCTTATTCTGAGTTCAAATGGCATCATACCTTAGATGCCTGGCAAACCTATGTCTGTCTGCATAACCAGAGTCATGTTACTCCATGCCTTGTTTTCAATCCAAAGATTGATCAGATCTATATACCGACATGGTTGACTTTATGCAGGTTATCTTCCCACTGTTTCTTCCAATTGTCCCTTCCAAGCAGTGTTTTGTGCTGATTTTGAATTGTTGTTTTATATTGATTATTGTTTTAATGGCAAAATAAATATTAATAAAAATGAAATAATAATGCACTGTCTCGCGAAATCATACGAGGTTTTTCGCACAATTAACATCTCAGAACCTCAGAAAGTGACTTATGATGTGCAACACCATAAGACTCAGTGTTTTTGCAAGTCGATCATACTTTGTCAACATTCAGGATTGAAAATATCCCTTGTCACAATTCCAGTTTCGAAGGTTTGTCTATAGTCCCCGCGAAAAGTTTCAGAATATGTCATTTTAATTTAAAAAGATGATAGCTCATAGCCATGGGCGACGCGAGGCCCCCCCCCCCCCCCCGGAAAAGCAACCCACAAAAGAGGGGGGCATCATGGGGGGGGGGGGGGGGGAAGAGAGGGAAAGGGGGAGAGAGAAAAAGAGGCGCAAAGTCATATTGCTGTTAATTTAATGGGTTGGGGGCAAATGTGCTTCGCCCCCCTCTAGAAAAAAATCCTGGCGACGCCCATGATGATAGCCTAGTATACGTTATGTCAGGAACCTCTTCAGAACGATATTTCTTGTCTTTATTTGACCCAGATAATCGTAACAAACTCTGAGTAGCTATGGCTCAGGATTCAACCCAACCCAAGGCGGTCATTAAGAACGCGGACATGAATGAAGATGAGCAACAAGACGCCATTGACTGCGCCCAGAAAGCCATGGAGAAATTCAACATCGAGAAAGACATAGCAGCTTACATTAAGAAGGAATTTGACAGCAAATACAACCCGACCTGGCATTGCATTGTGGGTAGGAACTTCGGCAGCTACGTCACTCATGAGACTAAGCACTTCATTTACTTCTACCTGGGTCAAGTGGCTATATTGCTCTTCAAATCTGGATGATGGACCGGATCTGTCTGAACAAGAAACGTTACAACCTCAACGAGTCATGATGAACCGTATATGATACTGTGACATTATGAACAAAGGATGTGTTAATGATATCTATTATTTATGTGGTTAATTTCGGAGATAACAGCTAAATGTTTTTATAGTCCATAATATGCCCTACGTGTTTCCAATTATTATACATGTGGTGTTTTCTATCTAGGATTCTGCAGCAGTGTCATTGAACCCCGTATTTATTTTCACAATACGACACCTTTAAGCAACTTTCGTTGAATATGAGTTTTAACAATAAGCATACGAAACACAGGTTCCCAGAATAGATCAAGCCGATAAACTTCAGTATCTCATAATTTTCTTCGTTAAGTTGTACACGTTGATGGTGTCAAACGCATCTTGTTTAGAGATCAGTGACATTTAAAATTTAAGATTTCATTCCAAATATGCTAACATCCAGAGAAAATCACATCAAGAAGATTACATTATTCTTTTCTTTCAGTAGTTTTGTCCGTGCGACCTTACTATTGCCAATAGCGAGCCTGCAAAATAAAAGAGGAACTCTCGGACGACATAACGCGTCAAAATTATGCTATAATCTATTCAAAATCCTTACTAAATTTCAAAATCTCTCAATTTCTATTCAATATGTTCATTTTGCGAGCGATTAGTGCTCTGATTACTTTTTCAAACAACTTTTGAAGAAAACCATTCGTACAACTCTGATTGTTTTAATTTCGGCTTAATGCTATAAATACAAAATGTAGTTCCTATTTGCAGTCACATGATGCCGACAAACACTTTGAATCCATATTGTTGAGATCAAAATAACCTCACTGATTTCAAGATTAAACAACTTGACTGAACTTTAATAACCATGTGATTTGTAAACGAGAATCAGGCATTAAATTTAAGTATCTTTGTACAGTTATCTTTCGTTAATTGTGAGTTCTATTCAGTGGCGTATCAAGGGGGAGGGCAGGGGGCACTTTGCCCCGCCCCCCCCCCCCCCCCCGGCGGAATTGTTTGACATTTTTTTTTGTCAGCAATGATTTGAAGTGTTTATAGAGTTCTTCTGACATCAATCCCACCAAAGAAAAGCCGCTCAACACCATTACAATGCGCCGTGAAATTGTCCATATAATAACATAGTATACATAATAATGGTAAGTTTTGAAGAGCGCCCCCATTTGGAAGATGGGTACCAGCCACATGCTGGGAACACATGCCTTTACATAATTATTTTCTTTGCAATTTCTGATATCAACAGGGCCCTATACATGTACATATTTATTTGCACCTTCTAGTTGGGCCAGCCTAAGGATGAGGGGGTAGTACATGTAAAGTACACGGATATCAGTGCCGTGGTTTTTGGAGTTTCTCATCAAGTCAAAATTCAACACCCAAACGCCTACTCAGTCGACATACCTTTCAGGATATTTTGGTAATCGAGCATGAAATTGCCACTAGTCACAAGTAAATCTTTTTCAATCGTAATAAAGAAAAATAGTCTAGGCTGCACAATACGCCTTTCACGCACCATGAACTGCAATGTGTCGGTTTATTGAATCATGGTTTTTTCATGGCTAACGTGATTAATTCGTAGACCTTGAGACGAAAATTTCTGTAAAAAATAACAGTTAAAAAACTACTCACTAAACAAAAAAATACTGAGATAGAGCAAGTTACCGTAGCTTGCTTTCTGTCTACACCAATCAAAACAGTTCTCGCTGTTCGACACAACAGAGGAGTAAAAACATGTGGGCGCCTGTTAGTCCAAGGTTATAGCCAGATTAGCTATGCATCATTTAATTTATTATAATTTGTTCCGTGAAAAAAACACCGTTGCATGTTTGCAACTAAGTAATATCATTGGCCTTACAAGCGGATTACGAAGAATTGTTCACATAATTTGCAAGTCAAAATTAGAACAAATCCGAGAAAGGTAAGAATACAATAACTGTAAATACATTAAACTGGTATGTTTACATTCATTTTTACAGTTGATTATGAGGATTTGGTTTATACATTTTATATTATGTTGTATATTAGGCATCAGCGTGTGCCTACACCTTACGTGTAATTATTATGTGAAGGGAAAATGTACATGCAATATTAGTGGCGTGGTTCAAATATTAATCTCTGTGGTGTACATATTGAGCTGAGTTGTGCTTCCAGCTTGGAATGACGTTACATTTTGGATGTAGGTTAAAAAAACAGTTTCCTTCGATATCTGGTGAGACTTCACAAGATTTAACAAAGCGTGCATGATAATGATGATATTCTAATGGGGCCCGCATACTCGTTCCATATCACAAACTGTACGTTCTATATTCGTTGCATGAATTAAACACACATCGAACCCGAAAATGTAATGAAACAAATGGTATTATTTCAAACAGTGAAGTGGAAAGGTCGTCTCCTAATCATAAATATACTGTTTCTGTTACATAATTTGTACAGAAGCGAGTGATCCTCTTGGAAACATGGCGTCACAGGAGAAGAAGGCTGTCATCAGGAACGCAGACATGTCAGAAGACATGCAGGAAGAGGCGGTACAATGCGCTGCAATGGGCGCTGAGAAATACACCGTGGAGAAGGATTTGGCCGCTTACATCAAGAAAGAATTTGACCGGAAGTACAACCCCACTTGGCACTGCATTGTGGGAAAGAACTTCGGAAGTTACGTCACACATGAGACCAGGCACTTCATCTACTTTTACTACGGCCAGGTTGCGATTCTGTTATTCAAATCTGGTTAGACAAATTTGCTGAAAAAAATGCATAAAATAATCAATGTGCATGAAATAGCCGTCGTTTTCAGGAAATTGCCATGTTTTATTAAATACCAGCGACAAACACATGTATCATATGTAATAAACGTGCTACCTAACTATGCAAATTTGCTCAGTGCACTACCTAAATAATAAAAATACAACTCAAATGTACAACTAAATCGTTAATTCAAAAAATAACTGACCTAATTTTGAGGGCAGCGTATTTTACATTGCTTGATTGAATTAGTGGAATCGAATGCCGTGGCCTCGTGGTCTGGAGCATTGAATTCGTGGTCTGCGGGTAATTCTGAAGGTTGTGGGTTCGAGTCCAGCCTGCGGCTATTGTGCGTGTGCCCTTAATTAAGGCACTTTGTCACTCATTGCTTCTCTTCACCCAGGAGTAAATAGGTACCTGTGAGGGCATTCGCTCGTACCCCCCGCCCTGCAAACAGGGCGCTGGGAAGGGCAGATGAGCTTCACAGAATCTTGTGAAGGATGCGGGGATGGTATTCTGGGTAATTTAATATGACCTATGTATAAAGCATCTGGCTGCAGCTGAAAACCGCGGTTAGCCCATGCGCGCAAATTCTATCCGAAAAGTTTGCCATAGAAATGCACACACTCCATACCGGATGTGATTTCTTTTTCATTGCGAACCATGTGGACAAATTTTGAGCGTCGAATGATATGCATTTCGACCCTTCGAGAATTTGAAACGGAGCCATGAGCAACTGACGGGAGTTGAAAATTTACAAAGCAGATAAGTTTTAAAGATTTTGCTACGTTATTTTGCTTTTTCAACCAAAAAAGGCCGCCGCATTTATATGAATGGGCATAAAAGCAGAGTGATGAATGACTCAGTCTTAACCATTATGGAGATCAATGGTCTTAACGGCCGTTTCAAACCTTGCAGGGTCGTCGTCGTGATGACTTGCAGGTCACAGGTCACGCGAAATCTAACTAAGTGAATATGTTAATCATTATGCATATTTTTAAATTACAGTGTATTGCTAATGGCGACCAATTTCAAGACAAGGATATTGGATCCGTGAGGATATTGAAATATATTGAAATGGAAAACAAATATATTTATGCTTAATAAAGTTGGTTTGTAAATTATGATTACTAAAATTATACACTGCCACAATTATGCCAACATTTTGACGTGGCTATATGAATTAAGGCAAATTGTAACCCATAGAATTTCGCAGAATAAAAGTACAACACATTTCACTGATTAAGAATCGAGATATATGCTGTGGATTCAGTTCTTGTGTACCTCCCCCCCCCCCCCGGAAATTTAAGTCGAAGTGGACCTCAAATTGTTCTTTTTTTTTAATTAGAGTCAAACAAACTAGAAACGCAATTTTTTTTAGATCCCGGATGGGATTGGGTGGGAGGAGTTTGAACTCTCCCCACATGCTTTAAGAAGAAAACAAAGAGTAAGGAATGATATATAGAAAAAGAAAGGTACAAAACTGTCTGTAAGGCACCGAAACACGGCCGTATACACTACATTATATAAATCAATGTACTTTTCATGAACAGCGCCCCGTCGATGCGTCAAAATAATAATGTCCTCATCTTAATTTCTCCACACACTAAAGATCTTCAGCTGTATCAGCGGGTACATTGACTTGTATACAACTTCTCAGGTGCAGCAACTATGCTTTTGTAAGTCGGTCGCTTTCGCCTAATATGCGGTTCTTATTAATTAGTGAACGTTTTTGAAAAATATTGATTTAAAAATAGGATAAAATGCCTTCGTGTGGTTGCAAGGGGTGAGCCAAACTAGACCAATCATGTTGAACAAAAATAAGATAAAGTTACCGTAAACACTCTACCGAAGCCTCCAATCAGTGTGTCGGAATACCAATAATCCACTCAATGCGCGGGAATTATTGATAAAAGGTATTGTGAAGAATTACAGTTGCCTACGGCAAGTTATGTGTAGGCCTATTATTGTATACCTTGCGAGCATCAATAGCACAACGCTTGTGAAAAGCCCAGACTTCTGTTGGGAAGCTGAGGTATGCGAGGTCGTTCCTGAGTAGCAACAAGTTACCGTAGATTGTTACCAAAGTTTAGCACCTCAACAGTTGAACTTACCATTGAACCTGTCCATTGACGCTTATTAGTGCGTAGTAAATGCAAGGTTATCTGCTATCAGCTGGGTAGACGTGATATTCCATTTCTTTGCCGATACCAAACACGACAAGTTGCTTCCAATACCGATTCGTCAGGAGAACAATTCATCGGAAAAAAGTAAGTGCATGCTGTAGACTGGTATGTGACATCTCTCGACGAACGCTGATGAATTGACCAATATTGCTAAAATATAGATGATTTAATTTGTTTAGACAACACCACGACTGACATCATAAGCAATCATTGTACAGCATTACTTTTATTTTCACTCGTTAAATCGTAAACATATACAGGTAGGTTTCTTATGAAATGTTATATTTTGTATTTTCAGGTCATCTGAACTAATATTCAGTCACTATGGCCGACTCCAGCAAAGCTGTTATCAAGAACGCAGACATGTCTGAAGACATGCAGCAGGACGCAACTAACTGCGCCGTGCAGGCCTTGGAAAAGTTCAACGTCGAAAAAGATATTGCAGCTTACGTCAAGAAGGAGTTTGACAAGAAATACAACCCAACCTGGCATTGCATTGTGGGTAGGAACTTCGGCAGCTACGTCACTCATGAGACCAAGCACTTCATTTACTTCTACTTGGGACAGACGGCTATACTGCTGTTCAAATCTGGCTAGTGATTGAACATGACTGTCACATGACTGTCACATGGACACTATTATACTCTTGGACTCTTACTCGGGTAGAGGGATGTACACCTTGCGTTAACGGATGCGTTTCATCCTTTGATGGGCTGCGGTTTCCAGACACTTTTGGTCACAGAGTATCTGCTATATGACAAAGATAATTAAATAATATTAGATCTGTTTAATATAGAATTTAACGACAAATAGACTCCATTAATTAATTGTACTACTAAACAACATAACATATTGTACTACGTGACAGTAACAGCTCAGTATTGTTTCTTGTGGGCATTCATAAATTGTAATGTACGAGTTTAACTAGACTTACGAACAAAATCATCTTTTGACTCCATCCCACCACAGCTCTGGCATTGGTTAAAAACAATCTGACCTGAATGAAATGATAAGGAATATTACTCTCACACAACTGGAAAAGTGTCAAAGATTTTTTAAAATACCCGATTTGGACGAACTTCGACAAAATGAGCAGTCTAAGTTGGATTTATAGTGACATTTTAATTCTTGTACACTTCTGTAAGTTTAGTACATTAAAGTTGTAAACTTTAAATCTTATTAAGTTTATGTCAAAGCGTTTCCATCCTAATAAACCATAATTATTAATAAATAAACAAAGAGCACGCACAGTTACACATTTTGTTATTCTGCTTATAATTAAACTATAAAATCAAAAAGTCTTTACGACGAACAACCGGTTGTTTTACATTTTGATAGTTTACGATCATTCAGCAAAAATCATTCGGTGATGTAAACCATACAGTAAAAATACAGACCTGTTGCTCCTCGGCGGACCACAGCATATTTTTACTTTTTGTTGCCCCTGGCCCATCTTTGTGTTTGTAATTTTTTCCCCAAATCCTTGTTCTTTCTCGCATATTCCCAATTTATCATTTTCGAGGGTGGGCGGGGAAACATTTGCCCACCCGCCCTGCAGACGCCCATTTTGTTAAATGTGTATTGAACAACTAATGGAAAATAATTGACTTGTGGCCTACACCGATATTTATTTATTTTTTTTCCTCTCTTTTTTTCTTGTCCGGGGGAAGCGGGGGGCATACTTTAGTGCAACTGCCTGCGTCTGTCATGCATATGAAGAACTAAGCACTTCTCTCGTAGTATTCATTATCCCCTAATAGTTCCATTTCTGTATGGTGCTGTAGTTCAGGTTCAACTATCAGGCTTGAAACCGGGTCACAGTTAAGTCACGATTATTCTCTTAGCATACAGGGACGCAACTCACTTACACAGGTTTCCAAGTCATTTCTGACAGTGTCACTGCATTCAGTATTGTGAATGGCGAGTGGGAGCAAGGTACCGTAGAAATGGCAGTCAGTCCACCAATCAGCGATTCCCAAATATATCTTTCTGCCTATCACAGCTTGTGACCTAAATATGATGTGTACTTTGTGAAATGACCTTCACATATATCAGTTTGCGTATGACAACAGCCAAAATTCCTTCCAACAAAAACTGTTTGTTCGGCGCACGGCCTATCCATGTATTGTGCAGCTCCACTCCTTTCTATTGTATACGTGCATTTCCAGCCAGGCACGACCAACTCAGTCTTGTGAACTAAATCTCAATAATTTACCGACAACCACGTCAACTATTGTCCAATAAGAAGTTCTGTTTACAATTCAACAACCAATCGCACCTGAGATTAGTTTTTGCTCACAGATGCATGACTACTGAATACAGACACGTCCCGGTCTGAATTCCAAAGTTTGCTGATTTCTTTTGGACGACTGCGTTGAAGAGTACACTTGCAAGAACAGCTGTGGACGAATCGGTAGATTTGGAAAGTTCAACTAAGTGAGGTAAGATAAATTCCACCTAAACCTTATTAGTGCAGTCCCTAAATGATGGGCGATGTTTTCAGTAACAGGGTCCTACTTGGCTTCCATTTGTATATATGCAGAGAAACATGATCATCAAACAGTGTTCAAGTTTGCTTGACGTGACTCTCTCTTCTGCGAGTAAACAAACTTACTCATGCTCTATGATGATGCGAAACTGGAACCGATAAAATGCCATTCATCCGGTGCTATAGTTGTGCTGCTTATGTAACTCAGCAGAATTGAGCAAAGTTGCTTTCAAAGATTAAGTCGTATCGAAATATTCCATGTGCCCTAAGGATCGTCGGTAATGTTGACAATGCCTGGTGATTGATAACACAAGAAATTTGTATTTTAATTAATGGATGTTATAATGAACGGATAAATAAATATAAATTATTACTTTCCCTCATGGGTAACGACGGTCGGACACATTATGCTTTCGTTTTGTCTTAGTAGGCCTACTTCTGGTGAGGTGGCTTTATATGAACCTTACAGGTGCAGGTGTTTTTCTAAACAACCATGAAGCAAGGAAAAACCGTGTAAAGGCAATCCTAAATCATTCACTTCCGCAACTCAACCATCCAGGTTAGATAAGATAATCAGCAATTTCCTGCTTTCTATCTTTTTTTTTCTCTCCAGTTTGTGTCAATCATCACTCGACAAAAATGGCTTCTGAAAAGAAGGCTGTCATTAAGAACGCGGACATGTCTGAGGACATGCAGCAAGATGGCATCGAGTGCGCTAAGCAAGCCATGGAGAAATTCAACATCGAAAAGGACATCGCTGCTTACGTAAAGAAGGAGTTTGACAAAAAATACAACCCAACCTGGCATTGCATTGTGGGTAGAAACTTCGGCAGCTACGTCACTCATGAGACTAAGCACTTCATCTATTTTTATCTGGATCAGGTCGCCATACTGCTCTTCAAGTCTGGCTAATGTGATGCACCACCGAAACGTTGACTTCAGCACAAACATTGACTTATAAACCCACCTCACCTCGGATCACTTTCATCAACGTTCAGAGTGATGTCATGCATCCTCAGTTTCAACCAGACACAACTCAATGCTGCCCTCGTCTCCCCTTTCCATGAGTTCACGATGCCATTTTTTTATATTGTGATAAGCATGTAACTATCACATTCGCATCAGAGACATAGAAAATGATCGTACAAATTAATGCTGAATTCAGCACTTCGGGTATAGACCAATACAAGCATGTTATCACTGTACAGTCAAGGAGGCCCCCTTCAATGGCGATACCATGGGTCGGTTGCTTTGTACTATAGCAGGCACAATGCCCCAATTAAAGGCGTGTAGTTACTCGGTCCGCAAATAATGGGGAATTTGTAAAGTAATTATTATGTGGATATGAATTCATGTGAGTGGTTATACAATAGATTTACGTTATAAGGGAACAGAAATCTGACAGTTGTACAATACTGATCTTTAGCTTTTCGTGTGTCCGGTTACGATTGTTATCATTAGGCCAAAAAAAAAGTCTCCGGTTTCTGGTATGGAGTTTGCCCAAAAAGTGGTGCGGCGACGCGCTTTTTTTTTTTTTTTTTACCAGATTTTTTTGCTTCAAATGTCGGCTGATGACTGCAAATGGTGCGCGACTAATCTTAGTGCAAATATATGGGAGTCCAGAGAGGCCACATAAAGCTTATTCTCGACCATAACCCTATCTAAAAATACGTTAGATTCCAGCAGCAGCAGGATTCCAGTCAAACCAGTGAGTTTGGCGGTTTTGAGACATCATCTTTCATTGAAAAAAAAAACGTTTTCATTTTGCCGACGCATACCAGAAACCAGAGACTGGGGGTTTTTTGGCCTTATTTCTCAAACATCTACATGTAAATGTTTTTATGGACTGATTCACTATTCTTACAGTATTCCTTGAAGTATTCAGCAAATCGTCTGGCCTGCACATTTTGCCGAAATAGGGTACGATGGGTTCTTGTAGGCACGTGTTCTTATAGCTCCATGCTTTTGTAGATATATAGGCATACTTATTGATGTAGAGGATGCTCAAGAAACGTCTTGGTTTTAACTGTGCAATATTTTGTTAATCAAGACGAGGACTTTTAGAAATCATGAAACCGTCTACTTCATTTCGTGGTGAATAAGATAAATAAAACTGCCAAATAAAATTATTGTAAATGAAATTGGCTGATATTTTAAAAATGTGCAACTCTTAACTCTATCTGATATACTGACAAATCCAATAGGTGAACATAGCAAAACAGTTGGTGGACTACCGGAAAAGGTCATGTGCAGTATAAAGTAGCTTGGTGAATTGAAAAAAATGAACAAGACTTGTGAGTGCTCACCTCTAATATGTTTTTCGATAAAACAGACTTAAGTTTCACTTAATGTTATGAGATAACTCATAGCATGCATAAAAATAATGTGTCCTCGTATGATTTTTGTTGGCAAAACAGGCTATCTTCAAGACAGCTATATCTGTATCTGTAGCATACCGCAAGCAAACTCCACTATGGGATATACGGTTGCAGGCGCGTATGTGTTGACTTAGTTTCGCTGTCTGGCACAAAAACCAAAGACACATGCATATCCTAACTCAAAGATAGATCGTGTTGCCATTAAAAACTTCAGTAAAATTTCAGAAAGAGAGATAGATTGTCTTCGAAACCATGCATCCTAGTGTCATTCATTCAGTAACGAAAAGAGCGCCGAGTTGGGCTATTTTGCCATCCGAGGGCCGCAGTATCAATGTCCATTATTACAGGTGCATTTCAAAGAAACGGAAAAAGTTGTTTCAACTTGGACCAAACCATTGGCCTTCGGGATTTGGCACACACAAAGAGAGGGCGCTATTTGGTTTGAGTATCATCAAAAACAAATAGCACCTTCCTACCGTACCGTAGCAACCATATCACACAAGGCTTATTCACAATTTTAGGACTGCTGAATGTAGGCTGATTTGACCATGGGTCTGAATATTCACGAAAGAGGCCTCGTTCGCACATTGGATTATATAATAACACCAATGGGACCAGAAATAGACTGGTTCCCGGTCCCTCTATTGTCCATCAGACTTCGAATGTAGGGACATGCAGGTGGCGGGCAATGAAGGGGTCCGCTCATAAGCCCGACGCCTCATAAGTCCAATGAGGCGTCGGACTTAGGAGGCGTCGGACTTAGGAGGCATAACATTTATTTATTCCGCCTCATAGGTCCGACGCCTCATAAGTCCGACGCCTCATAGCTCCGACGCCTCATAAGTCCGAAACAGCGTTTGTCCATTGTTGGACTTATGAGGCGTCAGACTTAATGAGGCTTCGGACCTATGAGGCGGATTATGCCTCTTAAGTCCGACGCCTCATAAGTCCGAAATTTCGGACTTATGAGGCGTCGGACCTATGAAGCGTCGGACTTATACGGCCCGCAATGAATCCTAAATACATTAGAAGGTTTTCCTTATAATGTATGCAATTATATGCAGGACTACCCTAGGTCTGATTCCCACCCCTGCAGTTTGTGTGGCGATGAGATTCGATTTTCGCTGAATTCAAAAGTGTCTCTGGCAACTATGAATAAAGAAAGAGACACTGCTCTTCAGTATGGCAATTTTGCCTGCTGGTTATGGTAAGAGTAAGTTTTACAGCTTACAGAGATGTAAGCATTATTTTCAAAAATCGTACACCCGCGGTACATACAGCGCATGCGCACAGGTGATCCAACCAATGACTGGAACTATATAGCTGGCTACCTGCGGTCCCCATAATTGTTATGGGGGTGAGGACCAGTCTAGATCAGAAAAGACCCAGTTTGAAAATATTTGCGGAAAGGGGGGGTGGTAATTAAGAGAAAACAAATGACTATAATACCTCGATACAAAAACCTTTTTGAAAAATCGCCGAACTTAACAAAGGCCCCTTGCGGGACTCGAACCCGCAATATTCGGTTATATCCAGTATGATATTAGAACACCGACGCCTTCTCCATTAGGCGCGATACGGAGCATTGCCAAATGACAATGGTTCGAAGGAAGTCCGATCCGGAAGGTTAAGTTAATTTCATTCATTGTTAATGTTTCTGGTAGTATCCTTGGGTATTAATGTGACGTATTCAGTCAAAAACAGACTGGCAAGCGGTCAAGAACAACATTTTTGTTTTGCCTAACTCTCTTCAATTAACCTATTTGAGATATGGCAGACACAAATATAAGGGCGCTGTTTGGTTTGGGTTATCTCTATTTTATTCCCCCCCCCCCCAAAAAAAATGAAACCAGACAACAGTTTACTGGCACCCGAACTTAATACTGGACAGAGAACAGTTTTACGACCAATCTGGGTCAGCCTCGTTCCCAGGTTGTTGAGCAGTATACGCTCCCCCACTATAGTCCTGTTCTCCCCCTCCCCCCCCCCCCTCTCTCTCTCTCTCTCTCACTCACTCTCGATCCCAGCTGCATATCCAAATGTTTTACATACGTAAATAAGGTAATAGGCTGGTGCCTGCCTGTGCTTTGCAAACATGATTTTCTTTTTCAAAGTTAAAATGTTACAATCTTCTACAGCCAATATGCAGTGTCACAATTCATATTAATATGAGCAAATTGGAAAGGAAAGGAAAGGATAATTTTTGAGATGTGGACGTAATAATTACAATGATCGTGAAAACACGTAATACACGTTGGAAATAACAGAACCGCAAGTACATTACCGTGCTAATTGCGGTATCGAATCAGGATACAGGAAGCAAGTTCCCATCCCAGGGCATATACTATTGGAAACGAGGTTGAAAATAAAGTAAGCCATGGGAACGAGGATCTAACCCGGTCGCTTCCTCAGCTCCGAATGTACAGCGGCTTTGAAACGTTTCTGCGGTGTTTTCAAACCTAATAACTTGTGATCAACAACATATAGAAGGGTCTGGACGATCGCAACCGGCCCCTCGAAGCGCCGCCCAATTCCAACGGAGGAAGCGACATGTCGTAAAACTGTTCTCTTCATATCCACTAAAGTTCGAGTCTAGTTGTCTTGTTTCCATTTAGGAAAGAATGTTGCATCCCGACGCAAATTGGTTTTTTTTTCAAAATAGGCATTCATTATCTCAATGAAGGTCAGTCTTGCAAAAATGTTGAAAAGACATAAATGTGGGACTGTGAAACATTTCCAATTTTGTTGCAATTTAATTTGAAAAATGCACTCGTCTCTTCATAGATTTTGAACAATCACAGACGTTGCGTCTTTCTTCAATCTTTTGTTTTTTATATCACCTAGATGTCTCAAAATCTCCATCAATCTTTTGTAAATACCCAGACAAATAGCGCCCTCTACGTATACCATATCTCAAATAACTTAATGACGACTACAGCCATCCTTCCAACAAAAACTGTTTGTTTGGTCATACTTTTTTTGTAATTTGGTTTACGGACTGAGTCTCTCCTTGGCCAAATTAGAGTCACAAAGGGAAACCAGTTACACCATTTTTGCCATGAAGTATCACAAACATAATTAAAAGGGTTATTAAAAGGTAAGCTGGTAGCGTTTGACTATTACAAGTATTTCATTTTATTTTTCTGTATCAGGGTTATGTTTGTTTATTTATTTATTATTTATGTTCGTTTATTTATTTATATATCGCGGGTTTTTTTCTTCATTTATTTATGTTTTAAATTAACTTGTTTGACTATTCTACTTTTCCGGTTGCATATCACTTATTATTATTTATTGTGTTATTGTTGATGTTGTTGTTGTTGCTTTTCTTGTTATTGGCTGGATTTTTTTAATGGAGTTTTTCTCGCCTGTAAACTGCCACAAGTATTTCATTTTATTTGTCACTTTCAGGGTTATATGTTTCTTTATTTATTTATTACTTATCTTTTAAATTATTTTGTTTACTGTTCCACTTTTCCGGTTGCTTATTTTTTGTTATTATTCATTTTGTTGTTGCGTTGTTTTGTTTCGGTTTGTTTTGTTTTGTTTTCCCCCATCTGCATGTTGTCATGTTTATATGCCAGCTATTCTTGCCTTTGAAAACTTGTAATTTTTGTCAATGTTTTTAACTCATAATCTTTTTAATCTAATGATCTTTTTAAAATTATTTTTAATGCAAGTCTTATTTTTTCATTACAATTTTGTATCTATGTTTTAATGTATTTTGTATGTTACCATTCAAGTTAGGATTGACAGGCTTTCGAGTCACAGTGTTTTATTATACTTGTGTCAATCCTGGCCAACTGGGATTGGGTTGTTTTTGTTTATTTTTGTTTATTTTGTGGATTGCTTGTTGTATTCTTGTAATTTGGCCGAATAAATAATAATAGATAATAATAAAAAGTGACCAAGTCAACAGAAAGTTGAGAATACGCCCTCTATTGGTCGGTTGAATTCATTCGACAGATACCACTTGTGATTCGATCCCAAATTCCAAATCGAACAACAGTAGAATCGATATTATTATCTATGCGTGAAATGTGGCATTGTACGATGATAAGTCTGTAACCAGTTTCGTATTATACATTATTAATCTCAAATAGTTAAACAAATAAGCAACACTTATAAAGACATAAGATCAATTGTTTTTCATGCATTTTGTTCCTTTCTAAAATAATTTACTGCTGAAAATCCAAAGAAGAATTTTAAAAACGTAACCTGCTGGTGAAGTTTTTCGGCTACTTTTTCGGAAAAACAATGAAAACCATGCACAACCTTTTGATCACGAAACATGATTTTTTTCAATATAGCAGTCCTCATTTCCAAAAATCAGTCAATTGTCTGGTCGTTGGAATCGTCTCCATGATCTCTGCTAAATCAGTCAATTGTCTGGTCGTTGGAATCGTCTCCATGATCTCTGCTAATATGACAGTAAGCCAGGCGAAATAATTTCACGAGGTGTTAATTAGGCCTGGCCACCAGTGCGATCTGGTGTGCGATCAGTGCGATGAACGGTAAGATTAAATAATTAATAAGGTACATGTAGAGGTAAAATGCAAATAAATATCCTATATGCCTTTAAAACAGCAACATTTTATAGGAGTAGTCATGACATTTAAATCAATCCCGAAATAACTGCTTACAACTTACTGCATGTGCTCTGCTCCCGTAAATTTATTTTCGATTTTATTATAATTAAGATTTGTTGGCATGTTATTTGTTTAAGTGAAAGAGATTTTTGGTCTTAAAATTAAAAGCTAGCGATATTCGAGATAAAACTCGATAGTCGATACGTGTATCATGTATGTTTATATTTTTTTAATTGTCGGGGAGGGGTGGAAACTGACCAAAATCATTGCACGGTCACCACATGATGGCATCGGAAAGACACATCCTTTTACACCCCAACATTTGATACAAAAGTTTCTTCTCACTTAAAGAATCATGCAAATGGGGAATGAGATGGGATTTTTTTTTTCATTTTCCAAGTTTTCGCCACCCCGAATATGAAAATAAAATTACATTTTTAGTTCAACGCCAAACCACAAACATTTCCAATTTTCAACATTTCACATGACTTAAAATGTTCAAAAGCCTTCAAGTGATCTCCCCCCCCCCCCCCCCCCCCGATGAGATTGAGGTTGCCCCCCCCCCCCCCCCCCCTACCCCCCACCACCACCCCACCCCCAACCAAGTTTTCATGAACTACTATCCTCGGGAATCCAAATACTTCGACTTAAAAAATCGAAATGTCGGTATCGTTAAAATTCGCCATCTTACAGTACGCATCGCACGTCAATATGATAATGTACACACGTATTGCTACTTAACTTCGTCATAAAAAAAAAATGTGGCACCATTTTCCTAGTATTCGTGTTTAATTTCAGGAAGTATATTCATGGGAATTAACCGGAATTGACAGCAGTACTTTTCTATAATTTTTCAAAGATTGTTCGGGGTGTTCTTCCTATTTTGAAAGGTTCAGAATCATCATTCACACTCACACAGTCGATCGTCCGACCACGACTAGACTACGTTCGCGCATCCGTGACGTGACCATCAACCGCCCTGCCTAGCCTGGGCGCGAGCGGCGAATGGACTGTTGCCGGCTTGTCAGGTACGAAACGGTACACAATGGAGTCCTCTAACCATGGTATTGTACATGTAACAAGGCATATTTTGAGCCTCAAATTCACATCATTCGTTTAACGCAGTGGCTATTGTTACGGCGGGTGTCGGACGCTTCGCCCCATTTCCACGTCGCCCCATGTCACTTCGCCCCTAACCACTTCGCCCCATCCCCACTTCACCCCATCTCCACTTCGCCCAATCCCCGTTTCGCCCCATCCCCGCTTCGCCCCATCCCCGCTTCGCCCCATCCCCACTTCGCCCCATCCCCACTTCGCCCCATCCCCACTTCTTCCCATGGATGTAGATTGGTTCCTCCAACTCCAAGAGTGAAATTAGGATGTCAAAGGTATTGTCGTTCTCAGATAAGTGGGAGACGGGTTGGTATAGCCGGGTTGGGAACAAAGTTGGATCTTTTACTTCAAGCTTTTTTTCTCGGTAGGGGAGAGTGAAAGCTTGAGAGGTTGGTTATGAATTGTTCGTTTGGCATGTTTGGTGGGCTAATTCTTTCCGTTGGTTAGCAATTAGTGAATCTGTTGGAATTGTTTTTTAAGCCAATAAAATAATAATGATTTTTTTTTTTTACATGTAACGGCTGGGGCGAAGTGGGGATGGGGCGAAGCGGGGATGGGGCGAAGTGGGGATGGGGCGAAGTGGGAATGGGGCGAAGTGGGAATGGGGCGAAGTGGGAATGGGGTGAAGTGGGGATGGGGCGATGTGGGAATGGGGCGAAGTGGTTAGGGGCGAAGTGACATGGGGCGACGTGGAAATGGGGCGAAGTGTCCGACATTCGTTACGGCAGCCGTAACGCATTTCCCATTTTCTATCGTTACGGTAGACTGCAACTTTTATAAAAACATGACAAGAAAATATAAAATTAGAAGGAAAAAAGTGAATTTGAACGTTATGAAATTCGGACTTTATTTCCCTTTTAAAAAAAATCCTCCAAAGCCTCAGGTTAGAAAAGGAAAAAAAAATTCGAGTGCAAAACTGAGATTTGAACCCGCAACCTCGCGGTGCAAAATCCTACCCTCTATCGAACGAGCTGTCGCACTGCTCGCTAAAACGTGGGGAAACAAATAATTATATACCTGCGTGCGTATCAAAAAAGTATTGTAGAGGGCACTAAACAACGACTGCCGTAACGATAGCCACTTCGTTCGTTTAAATGTTAGCATTAAGACCTTGAACTTAAACTTACAATCAATTGAATGACTTAAGATTACTACAATACTAGTGATTGCCGGCGGCAATCCCTATCAACTGAGGGCACTGTACTCTCTAAGAATGATAGGGCTGAATTATAGGCGATCGTGAGTGTAGGGCCCGGTTCCTATAAAGGAACAAAATCCACTTTTAATTATTGGAGTAATTGCAGAATACCTGTTGGCGGCTACGCGGATATAGAGTGGGAGTCCCCTTGAATATGCTTGAGAACGAAGCAACACAAAACTCAAAAGGAATGGGAGTTGCTGAACCAAACCAACCACCCTGTTGGTGGCTATGCAGATACGGATCAGGAATGTAGTGGAGCATGACGCATAGTACATACGGTGACTGCTCTTTGTTCCGACACCCCTATGTTCTGACACCCCTATGTTCTGACACCCCTATGTTCCGACAACCCGCACATAAGACTGTGTACTCCCGGTTAGGGTTAGGGTTAGGGTTAGGAATAGGAATATGTGCAGTCGGAACATACGGGTGTCACCTTACATACATGTACACGTAGCGCTGAGAAGGTTTATTGAGGGCAATCAACCGTGACTCCGTAGCCAGCTACGAGGTGGATAGATTGAGTGGCGGGGTATTCTGCAATTGTGCCAAATTATTGCATCAACCAAACTAGTTGGCGACATTCTCAATAAACAGGTATAGATAGAGGGCAGGGTTTTGATTTTTTGAGAGAAATTTTGGGGTAAAATGGCGATCACCGCGCGATGTACCGTGAGCACGCACGGCGCGCTGAATCGCAAGGCACAAACCGTGCAGAAAAATCGTGATTTCTGCCCCAAGAATCTGTTCAAATTGCAAAAGGGGTGTCATTAGAATTGAGAAAAGTCTGCTATTGATTGTAAAGGTGATTTTTGAGCAATAAAAAACATTTTGACTCTAATTTGATCAAAACAAAACAGGGGCCCTACACTTCGCTGAATTATAAGAGCTATTAAATTACCACCAACGGTTGTGTAGCGCCTGTGGCCTAGTGGATAAGCAACAGATCTCATGAGCAGGATGATCCAGGTGCGACCTGCCGGCAAAATTTTTAAGGTTTTTTTTCCCCATCCCCCCAAAATAAGAATATTCTTCTTTTATTATTTTAACATGTCTCAAACATTTTTTTTGCAGAGTATACATGTACGTTTTCTTTTTCAGATTTGTGGCTCTGGAGGATTTTTTTAAAGGGAAATAAAGTCCGAAATTGTAAAATGGTCTGATTCCCATCAAGTGAATACGAAGTTACAATGATAATGTTGGCATGGAACCAGTCTAAAATTTGTCACCGGAAAATGTCTTAAGGACAAAAAAACAGTAACTGCGCATGTTCAGTGCATATCCGGCAAGCTAACGTTTACTAAAGGTTTGCCGTCTCCGGCTAAATATCCACTGCCATAATAATATTAATAAACCTTTCATTTCATCTTATTTTCCTGTATAGGCCTAGTCCGAGTAACTTGGACCCAACTTATTGCCTTTTTAACATGCGGACATGGTCTGGCGATAGTAGGGTCCAAGCTAAACCGCATCAGTCGGTCGACACAATATTGTCCTTGACCCAAAAACCTAACATTGCCCAACAAAAACATCAGAGTTCATCAATGATTAAGATGGTTGTACTGAAGTTTACTTACATTGTACGATCCGGATTAAAAGTGAAATTTCCCGTTCAATGCCAAGAGCTCCCCTCGCGATCGTGAACATGTTAAATTTCCGACTCGTGTTAATGCTTGAACGATGCGATGTGGTCATCATGCCCGGCGTACATTCGATGGTCTCCGTATTCCCGAGTGTGATTCCGTTACCGAGCGCGATGCATCGATTATGATAATGAGAAGACTGGAGCACGTTTGTAAACACAAGTGCATTTCGAACAGTAAAAGGGAGTCGGGAACTGGTTTCGGCCTATAAAAGCTGCCGTAGTTGCTGACTCCCTATTATCATTCAAATCGACCGTGACCTGCGTCGATAAACAAGTCCGCGTGCAGATCGTATACCCAGCATGTGTGGGGCCGCACATGGAGTTTGTTTATCGACAGCAGGTCACTGTCGTGTCCCCTGCGCATCGCGTACATATTTGTATGTACGTGCATATCGTGCAATACGTTGGATCACAGCCATAAACGTTATTGAATGATCGCTGTGATCTGTGCTATTATGGTTGAATTTTCACGGATTAATTTGCAACCCAAAAAAATAACTGTGAGTATCATTGATGCCCCATTACTTAGTCTTTGACATGTGGACATGCCAGTAGGTGCTTTCAAAGGTATTTTTTTGTCAAGTATTTTGCGTGATTTTTGGCTACTTTTGTGGCAAACTTTGGAAATTGCAATATTAAGAATTTGTCCTTGGGACAAATGGGATGCTAGTACGACAGGCTAACATCCCAAATGTCAAAAAAAAAGGGGTTCTAGCGCCCCAGTTAGTGGGACTGTTTCCTGTAATACATTGGGGGCCTATGTTGCATTTTGATTTATGTAACAGGTTTTTTGATGTACCGGTATTAGTGTTTTAATGAAATTGTGTTGCTAATGGAATATGATTATCCATATTTCTAAGAAGCAAACATAAAGAATCATATTGACATTTGCACTGCATCATGGGAATGGATGACAAACAACAAGCAATGTAGTTTATATTACAAACTTATGGGGGTATGAGACCAGTCAAACTTTAAAATATTTGTTCTTCATTATTTTTCCAGATTAAGTGATCATCGATAAACGTATAAAGTGTAAATGCATCATTTTGTAATCAATTCAGTTCTTCAACTTAAGCAATAAAAATAAGAAATAATTTTACATTAATTTCAGGATACCATTCATCAGGCCTTGTGTGATTGGTCAGTGTCGGGATGTGAGCTTGGCATCTTGATTCTGATTGATTGGTCATCATGAGAAGGCTCAAGATATTAAGTAATGAAACTGGTCTCTTAGTCTTAAATTAAAAAAAAGGGATTTCCCGAATTTGTTCTTCATTCTAATAAAAGGCTTTAAAAAGTTTTTTCACAATTTGTTACCATTGCAAGAATGTGTGAATTCTGTGAAAAAAAATAATCTTTAAATTCTTGATATGAAATGAGGAGGAATCAAATAAAACTTTTAATCGGTACTCGGCCCTGTAGATTTGTGCACAAATTGCCTGGTTCGTTGTCATCCAATCCCAAGATGCATTGCAAATATCAAAAAGTTTATTATACATGTACCGGTACTGTATGTACGACTAACTAGCATGTCTATTACATGTACACGTGCATGCTCTTTTGGGTGTGGCACAGAATGTCATGAATGTTGCAACTCATTATTATTATTATTATTATTTCTACAAAATATCCCAAAATTTGGAGTATAATATTTTTTGTTGGTTTCTAGCTCATGTCAAAGTTGGCATATGTATTGCAAAATGTGATACATTGTATCCCTATACATAGTATGTACACATTTCAGGGGAAAAAAATCCTGATTTAAGTCCACTAGTACACTGCAGGGACAAAACATTCCCCCTTTAAACATGTTAAATCCACCAGTACACTGGATAAGGGTATCACATTTTGCAACAAACATGCCAACTTTTAGATGAGCTAGAAACCAAACAAAAAATATTATACTCCCAATTATTTGACATACCGGTACGTGCTCCACGAGTAGGGTCTGTGGTAGCTGACCCGTAAGCCTACTGACCCGGGTGAGCCCCGAGAATGACGTCAGAGCTAATTGAATAGCACCGGGCTATAAACCTGAGTCAATTCGAGTGAGCTACTTGGATGTACCCAATGAGAAATTCATTCCACATTAAAGAATTAGAAAACAAAATTTCCAAAAAATATAAGTAGTATCATGAGTAGATTGAAGTAGATTCTTCCTTCAAGCATTCTGTGTACTCTATACTGTTCATTAGTTCTCTCTTACCTCTTTTATTGTAACATTATTTGGGCCAACACTTACAAGTCAAATCTTGTTAAATTGATCAAATTGTATAAACTACAGAAGAGGGCGATTCGTACAGTATGTACAATGTACATGTACATGTAAGGTGCACTTTAATGAACACACCACTCCTTTATTCATGTTATTTAGGAAACACAAGATTTTGTCTTTTACGAATTCATATTCAACAAGATGTTTAAATAGTTTGTAAATAACCAACTTCCTGAATCGTTACTAAACCTTTGCCATTAAATAATAGATCCATACATTACTACAAAATGTATAATACTACCGGTAGGTTCTCAACTTCTCATCCAAATGTACAGGACTCGAGTCAGAACAAGCCCTCAACAAACCATTTCTCTGGACCAAAAAACTAGAACTATACATGTACATGTAACTATTCACCCTCTTTACTACATGTATGTACATGTAGTAATACATTCAAATATACATGTACACTAAAAGCATTCCTACTTAACTCTCAGAATACCTGATTTATTATAAAGTTGGCTTTAATAGCCACTATTGATATGTTGTTTATTGTCTTGTTTACTTTGTTTAACTGTTATATATTTAATTTTTGTTTTATATAAATTCTATAATTAGTGTTGTTTGTCTTGTTTTGTCTTGTATTGTTGGGCACATCCACGTCCACCACAATCGTCGGCTTTTTAGGATGGGCACATCCACTACAAGCGTCGGCTTTTAAAGATGATGCCTCCACAGAGTGGAAATAAATGTTTTATTGAATTGAATTAAACATTATTTCATGTGTAACGGAGACACCAAATTTGGTGTCCCCGTTACACGTGAAATCACTGTCTTTTTGTCATAGATCTGCATGATTTCATAAAGTAATTGGTATGATTGCATACCGTACTAAAAGAAATCCAGAAATTTTGAATGAAATACAATGTACTTGAGATACATATCTGGTACATGTACATAAAAATTACTGGTTTCACTTGTTTACATTAGGGGACACCAACCTCTCAATTTATGGAAATAATCACTATTTTGTGCAATACATATATACGTCCATCTGCAAGTGTCTGAATTTTATAGAATAATAAGTGTCAATTATTAGCGTACTAAATTGATAGAATTCAGAAAGTTTCAAAGGAAGCTAACAGATACGGTACATGTATGGGACGAAAAGATATTTTGCTGCATACTGTAACCAGTAATTGACATTTGGGGGATACCATGTTGTATCCCCCAGCAGTGGTTGTTTTAAGTGAGTTTTTATCGTCATAGCAACATGAACTTATGGCATAAATTGTGTGTTGTGGATACTGCATTTACCCTTCTAAGAATGTAACACAAATAAATTACATCAGTAACTTACTAGGGCTGTGTCCAATAGACCAAATATCCAAATACTCAATCCATGGGATCTTCGAATAGCATTTTACCAAAGTAAAATATTCAAAAAATGGGAGTCGCCTCGAGTAGATAACGAAAAACATCGATAACTTGTATAAGTTGAGGGGTTTTATTGTTCAGCGGATGCCATATTTTTATGGACAGCAACTTCACACGCATGATATGAGAATGTCCGTAATAAATAGTAGCCCTAATTTGCATCTTTAAATATCAGCTAATCAGTGGAATATTGAAATCCTCAAATATTCGCTCAAATCCAAGATCCAATAATTAATTACTATATTAAAATTGCACAGCACTGTACATGTACCGGTACACATGTAACTTACATGTAGAATTCTATAATTAAATATCTGTAATTTTAGAATAACAAATTTATGAACTTTGGGTATGACAGTTAAGATATTTTAATGTGTGTTATTCCTTTCTTTATTATTATTAATGCTTTTATTTTCCAATTTATTTTCATTCATGTATTCATCTATTTGTTTTTATTAAAGGCGATTAAAACCTTATGTCATTTGGATTACACTTTTCATTTCTTCAGTTCGACATTGCACATGTACTTGTAAATGAATCAACAGAAATACACTGTTCAGTAAAAACATTTTTTTTGTAAAAATATAATTTGGAACAAGTACATGTGTTTCTCTTTAACAAATACTCATTTAATAATTTTGAAACCATTGATATTTTGAACACCACAGTAGCCCTCTAGAGGCCCCACTGATTACAACAAAATGACATCATCTTATGTTGTAGAGTCTGACAGACATTCACAATCCGCATACTTACACAGTCAGACACTGAGTAATATTTTAAGCAAAAAGGCCACAAGGCAGAGCCACCGACGAATCAGAAAATAGGTGACGTCATGTGAGGGCAAGAGAATTTTTTTTCTTCCTGCCCGGCCCAGAGGGTTAAAATCAGCACTGAGGCAGGCACACAGTAGAGCAGTGGTGATCTTATGCATGCATCGTTGTAGACGAAACGCTAAGTGATGAGGATGATGATGATGTGATGCTCAACCTAAATGCAAGGGAGTGGTGAGGCAGATGGGTTGATCTACGGTGCATGAAAATTGGACTATAGTGTGTGCTTATGTGTAGTGTGTGTGTGTCGCTGCTAAACAGGTAGGCTAGGTGGTTGTTGGTATAAATACAGGAAGAATAACGCATCAAAATGTTAACAGCTGTGGCTTGAGTGGCACAAATCTACATGCATAATGTACACTATCCATGTTGCAGTTTTTTGTTGGGAGTGTCCGTTACATGTTAAAGTGTATACCTGTATACATGTACATGTAATGTTCTGTGAAAATTATTTCAAAACAAGTTTTTTGTAGCAGATGTACATGTACAATGTACCACTAGGCCATCAGCCTCGGTCCAAAATTTTGGCCAATGGTATCAAATGAGGGGAATAATCGTCATAGCGATTTTTGGCAAGGTATACACCTCCAGAGTTGGAAAATATGTGATTTTGGGTGGTTTTTTGGGGGGTGTTATCACCCTTTTTTTCAAAATGTCCATCAAAATGCTTGTTACCACTCTGGGGGCGGTATACCTTGCGCATGCGCACTATAATCATTTATGCCCTGATTTGATACTGACCAAACCCCCAGGCTGATGGCCTACACGTAAAATAGGCCTACTGTACATTGTATGCATCACTTGTTTGTGCAATTCAGCCGCAAGGCTGCAAGACATTGGATTTTTTTTAATAAACCAGAATAATAATAATAGTAATGTATACATGTATGCATAAACATGTACATGTATCATGTATGCAAGACCTCGGCCTACGTGATGTACAAACATGTACATGTACATGTACATGTATGGTACCTGTACACTGTATTAGACAATCCTGTATATGTACAGGTACCGGTATAGACATGTTTGAGCAGGCAATGAATTACTTTTTCAGGGCATTTTGTCTCATTCTTGATTAAACAAGCGCGGTCAGATCTCAGAAGCTGCGGGCCAACGAATTCGTGATCATGCATGAGTCACATGATTGTGTAATTGTGTAATTCTGGATGGAGTAGCGTTTTGATTAAAAAAAAATCAGGTTTTTTTTTACTCAAGTGGCTCAATGATGACCTTTGAACCCAGTTTGGTCATGTGACATGTTGGGGCTGAGCTACCGATATTTTTGACAAAGTTTGGTTGAAATCGGTCAAAATATGTAGGAGCAATAGACAATGTCAACGCTTGTTACTAACTAACGGACTCATGGAGAGACGTTGATTTGTTGAGCTGCTATCTCGCAGCTAAAAAAAAAAAGTTTGTAACTTTGTATTCAGTGAGCAGATCGTTGCATGGATGCACGCACATGTTCGAGTGCATAATTTTGAACATCAAACATACATTTCCTCGCATTAACGTTTGAATTGCTTGATTTTCTCATCCCTGTTGACAGACTGAGATAAAAGCCATCCCCTCTGCCACCATGTCGTCATCCTCATCAGGCCAGACCCAGGCCCTGAACCAAGAAGCCATCAGTAGTGGTACAAAGGAAGTAATCAAGGGATTAGAACAACTCAAAAATGAACACAATGACATCCTGAATAGCCTGTATCAGTCCCTCAAGGTAGTCAAGAAGGACCATGGAGACTCCAATCTTGTGGAAGAGAAGACAGGAATTATTGAGAAGTCACTGGAGAGCTTGGAGCTGGGTCTTGGAGAGGCAAAGGTTGGTGTCTTCAATTGCATTTCCTCCTAAACAAACCCTAAATACTTCAGTAAACGATTTCATTTACATGTAGATTGTTGAATAGTGAACTGCTATGCATTTTTTAATGTTGTTTAAAAGAAATACAGTATTGTAATCTGTAAAAAAAACTTAACACAACATTAAAATTTTGTTTGTGATGGGATTCATTGGAAGTCCGCTTAAGTCTCTTAAACCATCACAAATTGGCATTATTTAAACTGATGCAGGATTTGAGGCATTGTGTCCAGTTCAAGTTTTGTACAAAGAATGTGCAATCTTTCCCATTGTTCAACAACCTACATGTATGTAAGCGATACATTGTAAAAAAAAAAAAAAAAAACTCACAATATGTCAGTCTGTTGCCCATGGATTTGCCCTCGGCCATAATGTCCTTTAAATTGTGAAAAGAAATTAAAAAATGAAAGTGATAGTGGGGTGCTGTGGTCCAATGGTTACGGTGTTCGACTTGTGTGCCGTGATACTGGTACATGTATGGGTTCGAATCCTGATGGGGAACATGGTGCTTGTGCACTTGGGCAAGGTACTTTACATCCAGGTGTAGTAAATGGGTACCTGAAACATGTAGGAAGAAATTCCTTCAATGCTTGAGTGTTGTAATGGCAGCCGTGCTAAAGCCAGGGTAATACTAGAGCACCAGGAGCATCACTTTGTGATGGATATGAGCGCCATACAAGAAGCCAATATTATTACTATAGAAAATTAATAAACATGTACACTATGTTTTGATTAAGGTTTCAATAGTTCAATTAACCTCTCCGCTTTCCCCTTGTTCCCTTAAAACCATTGATTTTTTTTATGGTACAAATTTCAAAGGACAAATACTTGTACAATGTATGTACCGGTACACACCCAACTTCTAATTTCTCTATAAATAACATGTCGACCCAGTACTGTACAGTACATGTTCATGTATGATTTTCATTGCAAAAAAAGCCAATTGACTGTTGCACCATTTCAGAATGTTTATATGACGGTGAAATGAGTCACAATCCAAGTACACTTGAGAGTGAGGGATGACAAACTACTTGCATGTACTTGTGATTCAACACTTTGTGAAAAAAAAACAAGTTTGAAGTCTCAAGAGTAGTGCATGTACATACATACACATGTGTAGGTATACATGTACAATGTACATACATGTACATGTACATGTACAGTATGCAATCGTATGTCAAGTCAGGATCATATGAAATGTCACATTGTCAGAAGACAAAATATGTTTTCTGTTGTATTTTATTTTTAGCTAATGATTATGTAAATATCAGTGTATATTCCCTCCCCCCCCCCCCAAAAAAGAGATGATACGGTACATGTTCGGATGCTTGCTATGCATTTAAGTACATGTACACATACATGTACATGTATGCATTTCCCACTGTCCAGATAATACCGGTAGATGTATGTACATTTGTACGTCATCTGGCCAGTGTGTCGAGATTTTCATAACTGGCGATTAATAATGGAAATCACAATGCAACATTGTGTTGGTTGTCATATTATTGATCATGTTGATTAGACCCAGGTCTTTGTTGACCTACAAATTACAATGCATGTACAATATAATACATGTACATGTACATGTGCATGTACTACCATACATCCATGACATTGTACGTGTTATGGAAGGTATACAAATTATTCATGGATACTGTACAGTATGTACGTGTACATTTACTGTACAGTAAAATGCGTCTTATTGCGTAAAATTATGCGTACAATTTTTCCAAGCATTGCTTTTTTCATTTATCAAAAACCTGTATGTATACATACTGTACAATGTTATACATGTACGTACATGTACCAGTATTCCAACCTGGCAGTTGAACTGTGTGAAGAATACATTGAGATTTATTTATTTATTTCTTATTTCAACTGGGTGGCCCATTCAGTGGAATCCACTGGTCTCCCATATGAGTCCCAGCATACATAAAAAGGCAATAAACATAACAAACAATCAAAAAAGTCATCAAACATACCCCGGTACATGTACATGTATGAAATATCAAACATATGAAATAAGGACCCTCCTAAGGCAATTACCAGAAGCATTAATATGAATTTACATAAAAGATCGTGTTCAAATTTGCATTTTCAAAGATACATAATGTTGCAGGTGTTTGTAAATAAATACCGGTACTGTACAAGCACAAATGTACATGTATGTGCATTCTATCAGTAGAATAGGCCTGCAGCTAGCATTCTAACATGTCTAAAGCCAAAAACCTCAAACGTCCCATTAAAAGGAAGTACATGTATAAGTAGGACAAGCACAATGGTGGACCAATTTGGGAAAAGAATGTCAAGACAAGTGTTCTGAAGGTGAATGTAATTGTACAATGTAATTACTGTGATGAAGAGCAAAATTCAATTAATCATTGTCTCCTACTGTAACTGACCAACTTTCCTTCTTTTCAATCAATTTCAATTCTTTCAAAATTGAAAAACATCTCTCTCTTTTTTTTTTTTAGTTAATTGTTTGGGGTTTTTTTTTTCGTTTTGAGATTCAGTGTAGGATGTTACCAGGGATCCAAACTGAACAATCTCTGGAGACATACACATGAAGCCATATGGAGACACGGGCAATTTTATTCAATTATCGTACATGTATGTACAGTACATGTATCATACTCTGTACATGTACGGTTCATGTACATCCACCTCTGTACAATAAGCAGTCACTTTTACCATGTCCTCAATATTTACATAAACATCAATGTAATGCATGTACATGTACATGTATGTTAGTGTACATGTAGGCCTATAATTATGTCATTGTACATGTATGTGTACATGTTCCATAAATATAGGTTTTCCCACTTTTATCACGCGAATTCCCTATATCGATACTTTAAGTTCGTCCCCGAACATCGCCAAGCTCAATTCTCAATTTGAATTTCAAAAAGCCACCACTAGATTTCATTTAAGGTTCAGTATAATTCAAATTGTTAGCATTCCGATTCGTCCAAATCTTTGAAATTCGTCTCGTGAAGCAATCGGCGTTGAATTGAAAAAGCAAATTCGTTTTTTGTCATTCGTTTTAATGTTCTTGTCGTTACATTTCGTCTCTGGTGACTTAAAACGTTACGATTAAAAATGTGCCTAATCTTTGGACTTGTTTGTGCATTAATTAAATTTCAATTTTTAACAAATATTTCCTTATCAATGAAAGTATAGCTGTAAATTTTGAGTTTTCTTTGACAATAAACATTAAAATCAGAAATTGAACTTTCACAATATGCTCTTTGCTTAGCATATGGAAATTAAGCATTAAGATCAAACTCCTTCGTAATGTTGCTCTTTGATATACATATGTATATGAATAAAACAACAGAAATAAGGTTTGTCTATCAAAGAACAGCATTAAGAAGGTCTTTGAACTTAATGCTTAGTGCCCATGTCATTTCAGTGCAAATTGTGAAATGTCAATTTTTACTCGAATGTTAATTGTGAAACACAGAAATAAAAATTCATGTCTTACAGCTAACTACTTTTATATAAGGAAATATACATGTATGTTGACTTATCATTGTTTTAATTCGCATAATTCTTCAAATAAGTCTAAACATTGGGCGCATCGTATACGATTTAAGTCACCAGGGACGAAATGTAATGACAACAACATGAAAACGATTGACAAAAAACGAATTTGCTTTGTCAATTCAATGCCGATGGCTTCATGAGACGAACTTCAAAGATTTTGGACGAATCGGAATGCTAACAATTTGAATTATACTGAACCTTAAATGAAATCTAGTGGTGGCTTTCTGAAATTCAAATTGAGAAGTGAGCTTGGCGATGTTCGGGGACGAAATTAAAGTATCAATATAAGGAATTTGTGTGATAAAAGTGTTAAAATAGTTGGGAAAACCTATACTAGGAAGTAGGATGTACTGGTACATGTACATTGTGTACAATAACATGTATAACATGTTGATGTTTAACTTGCTCTAAAAAAATTGGCACAAACATGCTTTAACTCCACATAATTGCATGACTGATATTGCCACTTACATGAAGATGACTTTTGCGCGTGTATGTCCATGTACATGTACATGTACATTATAATCAGGCAAGCAATTATTCCTTGGATCTGCTGCTGTCCTCGTGTTTTACTTCTCATGAATTCATTACAAATTGATTTGTACAAAGTCTTGTGTGGTTTGGAGTTTCCTCATTTTTTTCTAAATTCCCAGTTGCCTGATTATTATGTGTATACATACATCTAGGTATGACATGTATGAATACTATTAAAATGTTTAACTTTAAGATTAAATTCTTAGAATAAATTTGTTAAAATCATTACAAATAAAAAGTTATCAATATTAGGTTTTGTCTTTGACTGACGTATAAACACTGCATACTCAGTGTGTTACCTCCCTTAATCATGTTAATAATGAAAGTTGTACAATTTTATTGTATTTTCTTTTGTTTCAGGTGATGATGGCTCTAGGCCACCACCTGAACATGGTGGAAGCTGAGAAACAGAAGTTACGAGCCCAGGTCAGACGATTGGTGCAAGAGAATGCATGGCTGAGAGATGAGCTAGCGGCTACACAGCAGAAACTACAGACTAGTGAACAGAACTTGGCAGAGCTAGAGGAGAAATATAAACATTTGGAGTATATGAATTCCATCAAGAAGTATGATGAGGATCGGACACCAGATGTGAGTGATTGACATTGCCTATACATGTACACATGTAGATGATTGTTCTTTTACCCCTAACCGCCCTGAATCCTTCAAAATCCTCTTTGCCAAAGTGAAGGAATTTGGAGGATTTAGGTTACATGTCACAAGTGTGTTACTGATTTTGTAGGATGCACTTTGTCAAATTCTTGGGCAGGACTTTGTGTTGTTTTTGCTCAGTCATGCATACATACATGTACAATGTACAGGCCTATATTATGCTAGAAATCCTCCATGCTGCTCCAGGAATTCACTGGCCAAGCCTCAACATACCGGTATTGACTGCAGGAGTTTGCAGGATTCAGGCAGTGGTCACCCCTCCACAGACCATATTAAAGAAAAAATGGATGATCACATGAATGACCACCATTTTGACCCCTGGGCCATCATACCGTAGGCACTTCACCAATTTGTCACAATCTTGTTATAGTATAATTGGCTGTGTATTGCAAAGTGTGAGTTTTTTTCTTTGAACAGACTGAAGAAACTGCAGAGCCGTTAGATTTGGGCTTCCCAGAAGACGACGAAGATCAACAACAACCAGAAGGTGAGAATTAGACATCTCATGCACCGGTACCCAAAAGAAATCTCTAGAGCTGGTTTCCTTTGTATTTTGATTGTGTAACCTGATCTACATGTACATGTACACATGCATACGTACATGTACATGTATGCATTATCTTGTCACCTTTTTCCTTCCAAATCTGCAAAACGTCACAAAAATCTGCCATGGCATGTTGATCATGCAGAGAAGAAGATCCTGACACAAACCAGCAAATAATTAAATTCTAAACAAATGTAAAACTCCCTACCTGTATACATGTATCTATGTATAAATGTATTTAAGAGACAGAGAGATGAATCTTTGGCTCAACAATTGGAAAGTACACGTCATATGAGAGTTAATAAACATGTAGGCATAACCAAAAGCTTTCAAATAATAAATTGAAAATGCAGGCTTGTCAAAATATACCATGTACATGTACATGTAGCTCATTAACTGAAGATTGAAGCAAAAGATGGGAAGTGCTGATTTTACATATACATGTAATTCACTTGAGCTTGGAAACTGAAACAAACTGGCGGACATGAGAGTGCAATCCTTTGAGATGTCTGCGCTTTATTCTGCTGATTGTTAGCACTACCCTGTTATCATGTCGGTTTGCACCCTCTCTGTATACGCACTGAGATCCATTTTATTCATTAGGGTGGCATTTAGGTGCGTTGCTGTGAGTCATGGATATTGTAATGTACAGACTTGTATGCTAGCCGTCGCCTCTCCAGTAACATTAGCATTTGGAGACACTGTCTTGAAAGCGAGTCCTGTTTATGAGTCTGGCAAAGGAGAGGCCCACATGGATGTGGGTGGCAGCAATATCAAATCAAATGAAGCTGAAAAAAAATATATATTTTCTAAGTACTAGAGCAATGTACATGTACATGTATACATATGCATGTATACATGTGCATGTACAGTGTATGTGTTGTGCATGTACATGTGTGTGAGTACAGTGTATGTTGTTCGTATTTTGTCGTGTCATACAATGAAAGAATGAACATTTGAGCACTATGTGTTCATATAGGCTACTTGTTGCTTTCTTTTCTCTTAAAGTTATAAACAACCTTCATCCTCTAGCAAGCTTTTGGTCCAAAGGTTTTCTTTCGTAGTGTGAAAGTGCATCCATGGGCATTAATGTTTTGCCCTTCACCGATGTATAAACTCTGTATACTCAGTGTGTTATCTCTCGAGTGAAAGTTGGAAAAAATAACTCGAGTGGGACTCACTTTCTAGCGCAGACGTCTTACTACTCGACCACCGAGCTTGCAAGATCAGTTGGCTGGTTTGAATCTGATGCACTTGTACATTTAGCAGTGGGTACTGTAATTAAACTATTCGTAAGATGGAATTTGCGATGGGGTGATGTAAAGCAATATTAGGTTTTGCCCTTCACTAACGTATAAACACTGTATTATTTATACTCAGTGTGTTACCTCCCGAGTGAAAGTTGGAAAAAATCACTCGAGTGGGACTCAAACCCAGACCTCCTGCTTTCTAGTGCAGACGTCTTACCACGCGACCATCAAGCTTGCGGGATCGGTTGGCTGGTTCGAATCTGATGTCATTTACTGCAATTAAACTATTCATAAGATGGAATTTGCCGCGGGGTGATGTAAATCAATATTAGGTTTTGCCCTTCATTTGATTTGATTTGATTTGAAATTGACAAATTTGCAGAATCAAAAGGGGACACATTTCCATTTTGTCAGTTTGCTTTAGTTTATGTAAAGGATCATACAGTATGTTGACAATTGTTGACCGGAGCATAGTGAACTTGGCATTCCTTCTGCATAATGTGCAAAGTCCCTACAATCGACAATACTAAAAATTGTGTCTAAACTTGATTGACAACCACTCTGACGCGCCCAGGGTCCATTGTAAAGCCCTTAAAAGGATATGTGCTTCCAGGCACTGGCTGCAAACATTGATACAAGGTTGGATGGGGTCTCTGCATCTGCTCCATAATTGATTGAATTGCCTGTACCTGTACAATGCTGTAATGACAATGTCTGCTTTGAGACAGGTGTTACATGTACACTACCGGTACCAGTACAGTACCGGTACCAGTACATCACAAACATTTTAACAACTCAGTCTCCATACATGCCATATTTTGAAATGAATCTCATCGTACCCCTCTAATATGCCCCTGACATGAATTTTAATTAAACATGTACATTTGTGCTGAAGTACGGGTAGTAGAAGTTCATTGCATGCTATCCATTTTAAGTACTTTATAAATGGCCACTGTACAGACACAGGTACCAGTAAGATGTCAAGTTAAGCAGCTGAATAACTTTCTTTTAAAGGGAATATACATCATTTGCTTTTGCTGTAATTTTCAGAAATGGATGGAATTGGGGGTTGGAAATATAAAGCAAATATAGTTACACTGACTTTTTGGAGGTTTTGGGTTCGAAAATGCTATAAAAACCAAGAAAAACGATCATTTTCCTGTAGTCTGGTTCCCTGACTCCATATAAGAAGAAACAGAGCAGTTTACATACATTGGGGAATTGTAAGGTCAGGGAACCAGTCAAGCTGGCTCTTACCCGTTCATAGGTTTGTAATCGATTGCAAACAAGTGCAATGGTCAATTGGGTCCAGTATTTGAAAAAAAAGCCAGTTGTTTCCAACGCTGATCGGCCGATCAGCGTTGGAAATTGATACAAAAATACCACTTTTCTTGAAAATGACAGTATACCAGGTGCCATAATTTTACAGGATGCTTTATACTGTCATTTACCAACATCCTATTAAGGTATTTCGCAAAAACTTGGTAGTTTTATTTTTAGATGTTTGCAAATGTTGTATATTCCCTTTAAACACAGACAAAATGTATTTGTTCCATCATATTTCCAGGCTGTATAGAATCATTTTATGTTGTTTGTTTTTTTAAATACAAATGAGTTCCTTAGTATATTCTCATTGTAAGTGTAGAAGACAAAGTGTATTTTTTTCCCAGAAATGTTGCATGTTTATGCCTTATTTGTTCATGAACATACATGTACATCATGGAGGACTTGTGCACGGTAGCATGACTTACCTACCGGTACATGTACCGATAATGATTAAGGCATTCCCTATAAAGTCGGCATCATGTACATTTGTATTCGGAAGTCAAAACTAAATATCATGAAGAGGCAAGGACTTGATGACAGTTTACAGAACAATCTAATTTTTGCTGAAACATCATATCATTCCACGTACATGTACATTTGTAGGCATACATGTACATGTACATTGTACAAAATGTAGTTTGCTGACTGCATAGTTAATCACTGTGAACACAAGAGCCACTGAAATGGAGACTAATCCCATTAACTTGTGCACAGCGAACATTGTCAAGTATCCTGTGGCAAGTCATGGGCCTCTCAATGGAATTCAATTTACACTTGACTGGATGACATGTTGTGATGCATGGAGATATTAACCATCATTGATCTTATGGCGTCAGACATGAGGCCAGTGATTCAGCGTACTACCGGTAACTACCGGGTACGTGTATTATGTGAACAGGAAAAATTGAAACAGCCAGTGCTCTGGATTGGCAAGCCAAGGTTTTGGAGTTCAATGCACATTCTTCGGGGCTGTTATGTACCGGTACATTGTACAATGTAGATGTACCGGTACATGTACCGGTACATGTACATTGTACATGTACATGTACATGTACATGTACACGAGTACATGCATGGTACATTTACTTATTCAAATGTCATGAATATTGAGGAAATTGACCTACATGTACATGTACATTAACATGTACATGAAAGGGTGAAAGATGCCCTGTTTATGCATTTCTTTAGTAGCCCTGTCATGCCCGTTGGACACAATTAAATGTGTCATGATCAGGTCAGGTACAACATGGAGCATGCTTGCTCCCATATTCCCTTCTCCATCATGGGTACAAGCAAGGTACATGTAGGCTGAACTTGAGTGGTTGTGTTATAAATTATAAGCTTATAGCCACCTTCTAAAACATCAAGATTGCGTCGACTCGCCTCCGGGTGACGTCTAAACACACTAATCCGTTGTGCCTTTTGTGCTGGCATTTACTAACTTACGGAGACATGAACACAATAGGGAACAAAAGATTGTATACGTCTCCAGAAGAACATTTCTATAGATGAATACGTCTCCACAAGAATTTCACGAAATAGATATATGGATTTTACTCAAAAACTAGGAATTTCCAAGGTAGGTTGATCAGTCGCAAATGGAAGAGTTTTAGAAAAGGGATATTTAGTCCAAATTTCAGCCCAGGAAATTAATTGTGGTTAAAATAAGAGCATTTTGAAACTTCAATTTCACACTCGAAAACTTTACTACACGAGAACAAAGAAATGTCTCCACAGGAATACAAATTCCAGAATACATGTACACACACACACACACACAAAGTTCATGAAGTCTGCGGAGGCGGACCATGTGTTGATCTTGAAGTGACCATTGTGCACGGTCTATTGTTCGACAATTTACAATGTACCGTGTACGCTCCAGTGCACACCTCGGAGTATTGAAATATATGAGGTTTCGGCAAAAATATCTTACAAATACTGTTGAAATGACTCTTGCGATTCATTATTTGTGGAATTTGGCCATACATATCAGAAGTTAGCTGGAAAATTGTGCCTTTTGCGAAAATCAAAAGTGGTTAAAGGAGTGGCTGAAAGATGTACATAATACATGTATCGGTATGTATGCATGGCTAAATATTTGGGTTAGATTTGGAAGATTCATGTATGTACATGTACAATGTATTTCAACAGTAAATCATACATTTTTCATCAGTGAAAACGTCTCTTAAAGAAAAGCAATAACAAAGATTTATTAGATTCAGCAGCCCAAGGATTATATATGTGGTCTTTTGTTTAATTACATTTTTCTTCAGAACAGTATCCACGTTGTCAAGCTTTATGTAGCCTTAAGAAGTCTATTTAATATTTTCTTGATTTAAACATGTCTCCCTGTTACCTTATTCAGATCAATACCCACAGCAGCAAGCAAGCCCAGGTGCTGCAGCAGCAGCTGCAGGTGGCTATGAGATCCCAGCCAGACTGCGCACTCTACATAACCTAGTCATCCAGTATGCATCACAAGGACGGTATGAGGTGGCTGTACCACTCTGTAAACAAGCCTTGGAAGATCTAGAGAAGACATCAGGACATGATCATCCTGATGTAGCCACCATGCTTAACATATTGGCACTAGTCTACAGGTAGGCCATAGAGTTACTGTCATCATCCTGATGTAGCCACCATGCTTAACATATTGGCACTAGTCTACAGGTAGGCCATAGAGTTTCTGTCATCATCCTGATGTAGCCACCATGCTTAACATATTGGCACTAGTCTACAGGTAGGCCATAGAGTTACTGTCATCATCCTGATGTAGCCACCATGCTAAACATATTGGCACTAGTCTACAGGTACATGTAGGCCATAGAGTTACTGTCATCATCCTGATGTAGCCACCATGCTTAACATATTGGCACTAGTCTACAGGTAGGCCATAGAGTTACTGTCATCATCCTGATGTAGCCACCATGCTTAACATATTGGCACTAGTCTACAGGTACATGTAGGCCATAGAGTTTCTGTCATCATCCTGATGTAGCCACCATGCTTAACATATTGGCACTAGTCTACAGGTACATGTAGGCCATAGAGTTACTGTCATCATCCTGATGTAGCCACCATGCTTAACATATTGGCACTAGTCTACAGGTAGGCCATAGAGTTACTGTCATCATCCTGATGTAGCCACCATGCTTAACATATTGGCACTAGTCTACAGGTACATGTAGGCCATAGAGTTACTGTCATCATCCTGATGTAGCCACCATGCTTAACATATTGGCACTAGTCTACAGGTAGGTCATAGAGTTTCTGTCATCATCCTGATGTAGCCACCATGCTTAACATATTGGCACTAGTCTACAGGTACATTGTACATGTAGGCCAAAGAGTTACTGTCATCATCCTGATGTAGCCACCATGCTTAACATATTGGCACTAGTCTACAGGTAGGCCATAGAGTTACTGTCATCATCCTGATGTAGCCACCATGCTTAACATACTGGCACTAGTCTACATGTAGGCCATAGACTTTCTGTCAGGGCTATACATGTGCTGAAACTACTCCTGTCATGTGACAGAATAAACATCAAAAGAGTCCGTGCACTAACACTAGGTGGCGCTTTTTTACCACTTCTGACAGTTCCAGTGTGCGCACTGGATCATGCAGGTATTTGCCTGGGCTCAATATGCAAGACATGATTTTGTTCTTAATCTGCACAACCAGTTGCTTCTGCACATGAGTGTTAGGTGCTGATGGAAATACAGTAGAATGTCCAATCCAGTGGTCTCCCTCAACTTTCTCTCTCTCTCTCTGTAAACTTGTATGTTGTTGGAACTAATATGCTGTTGGAACCTGGAAATGAAAGTGTTGTCAAGTAGGTTAGTAAGAAATGCAACACACAGATCTCTCATCCTTTATCATGTCTATAGTAACATGCAAAAAGCCAAAATCAAGAGTACCGGTAGTTAACATATCAAAAGACAAACAAAACAATATTTTGTTCTTCTGTGACAGAGATCAGAATAAGTACAAGGAGGCTGGCAATCTATTACATGATGCCCTTGCCATCAGAGAAAAGACCCTCGGACCAGATCATCCTGCTGTAAGTACATCCTTTCTAGTTTATACACTTCATTGAATCATATTGTACAACTCTTTGCCCATGTTTAGATCAAAATTGTGACCCAACTAAAACAAAAGAGTTGGAAGTTGTCAAAGCTACCGTACTATTTAGTAATTTAGCATCTTGCAAATAGATTCAATCAGCACAGACAATTAACATTGTCACTCAGTCATGCCAACTGGTATATAGTATTAGTATTCAAGTGTGAGTACAAGTACTGCATGTTCAACAGTGTGTCTGTCACATAAGTTTTGTGTGCTTACGTGTATGAAGATGTCATCTGAATAATTCATAGCATAATGAACATTGCAATATGCTGTCCTTAGTGCATATAAAAAAACAAATAAGTGTAAACATCCTGAAGACTAATTTCATGAGTGTCAGTCTCATTTTGATGTTTTCGAAGGGTAGACCAATATATCGTGGTTGAATTAAAGAGATTCATGTACCGGTATGTTTAATTGGTTTATGGCAGGTTGCAGCTACATTAAACAACCTGGCTGTTCTCTATGGCAAGAGAGCCAAGTACAAGGAAGCTGAACCACTCTGTAAGAGAGCTCTGGAAATCAGAGAAAAGGTCAGTTAAATTATCAAACTAAATCAAGAAAGCTATAAAATGGGCATTGTTTCATTACATTCTTCAAACTATGGAGTAAGTAGTCTTTTGGTTCGTTTTTTTGGTCTTTTTTTTAAGAAATGTGCATTTTTGCCTGGCACCGTTCACATTTTAGTTTGAAATTGAGGATTGAATGTTTTCATGTCAATGAATATATATGTGTAATAATAATTGTAACAATTGTATAAATCAGAGATGGACAGTTAATATTTTCCCATTAAGTTAATGGGAAAAATTAGCATTTTAAAGTCTATTGCCCCTAAACAACCGGAATGACAATTACAATGTACGGTATAGAAAGTCAGTAGGGACTTATTTAAGTAAGCAGATGAAATCAAAAGAGTAAACTATCCCCAAGAAAGCCAATCACATGCCCTGGCAGCACTGTCTTGGAGTATCTGTTGCAAGCTTAATTTGAGCAAAGTCAAGTCACAGACGTTCTCTAAGGGAATTCTGCAACTTGGTATTCAGTTAGTCTCCCCATCTCTTTGCCCTTGGGAATCCCGTTCTCATGCACGGTCGATCTTTATTGCCTTGTTTTTTTCCTCTGTGGTCTAGGTGTTGGGAACAGGTCATCCAGATGTTGCTAAGCAACTGAATAATCTTGCCTTGCTGTGCCAGAATCAAGGCAAATATGAGGAGGTAGGTTTCCCTACGGATGACGAGATTGAGGCTAAATGTCACAGGGTTAGCTTTGCATGATTAATGTTTTCTGTAGTTTTTGAAATAAACTATGGAAAGATGACTTTCGCCTGAAAATATTGAAACCTGAAAAGGCAGAATGTGTAAGCTTTAGAAGTGGGCAGGGTTTATTCAAACTAAAGTATGTATGCTGTGATAAGACAAAACACGAACTTTGTTCCATGAGGATTCATGCAGAATTTGCTACACAAAAAACTCATAAGTTAAATTTGTAACTTGTACATGAGGTAGAATAGACTAGTGAACCATGCAAACAAGTTGACTGAAACCATTCAATTTGAGTTCACATTTAAATTAGTTACTGGTGTGAACTTAATGGGTTTTGATTAAATAAAAATTTAACTTTCAGTAAATATTATGGTCATTTTTTTCTTTAGGTTGAATGGTACTACAAGCGTGCCCTTGAAATCTACGAAACCAAACTTGGACCCGATGACCCCAATGTGGCCAAGACCAAGAACAACCTAGCCTCTGCCTACCTGAAACAAGGCAAATACAAGGCTGCGGAAACCCTGTACAAACAGGTTCTGACTAGGGCACATGAGAGAGAGTTTGGAGGGACTGATGATAAGGATATCAAGCCGATATGGATGCAAGCCGAAGAGAGACAAGAGAAGGTAAGATGCAGCCTAGGTTAACCTGAGGGCATGTTACCCCCCCCCCCCCCTCCCCTTCCCTGTATTTGAAACACATGAGAGAGACTTTGGAGTGACAGACGATAAAGTTACCGGTACCAAGTCGATATGGATCCAAGCTGAAGAGAGACAAGAGAAGCTTAGATGTAAGTGGTGAACAAAATATACCCGAGTGGTGAAGGTGCTTGGGTGTTTTCCCACCACCTGCAAACCCCTGCCTTTGCCCCTCCCTGTGCCCCTGTCCCTGCCCCACCCCTGCCCCTGCCCCACCCCTGCCCCTGTCATACCCCCTCCATCAGGAGTGCTTGAAGAGAGACTTTGGAGGGAAAGACAATAAAGATACCAAACCGATATGCATGCATGCTGAAGAGAGACATGATAAGGTTAGATTCTAGGGGTGAGCAGAGTACTTGAGAGGTTGAAGGGGGCTTGTTACCTTGCCCAAACCCCCTGTGCCACCCCATCCATTATATAAATGTGGTTTTTACTTTCACACCTACTCATGTTTATCACTGTTCCAACAGAGACATCCTGTTTTTTTTCACCAGTTATTTGTCATATCGTTGTAATTGTCACTGTGTGATTTGAAGTGACTGTATCTTTTTTTTTTATTCTGCAATATGTTCACAGGGTAAATTCAAAGACAATGCTCCTTACGGTGAATATGGTGGATGGCATAAAGCAGCCAAAGTTGACAGGTACATTGTATATGCTCTCTCTCTCTGTATATGTCTTGATGTCTTATAGGTCTCCTCAAATGATTTCATTCCCTATAGACCAGCCACGTGCATCGGCATTTTGAGCGTCAACTTGCATAACGCGCATCGGCTGCATAGTATTTTGAACACGTTTCAAGCAACAATGAAATACGTTATCTATGAAATATGTTATCTATAAGGGTACAGAACATCTCATGGCGTGAGCACAAGACCAAAGAACAGATTTACGGAGATATTCCACCTATCTCTGCTATTGTTGCTCAACGTAGAGTACAGATTGCTGGCCACTGCTATCGTGCTGAAGACCAGGTCATATCCGATGTAATATGTTGGAGACTTCCATGCCCTAATAGAGGACAAAGACCTTTCAACTACATTGATGTGATTGGCAGAGACACGCAACATGAAATTGAGGACCTTCCATACGTATTGAGGGATAAAGACACCTGGCATAGCATTGCCACTGCTAGATTCCATCTTATAATAGATGATGATGATGATGATGAAACTCTAGCATATTACTAAGGGAATAAATGTGTGCTCCGGAGGTTTTTATCACTCTGTTTAATACCACTTAGAGTCTGGGTGCTGATAATTACCCGAGCCGGAGGCGAGGGTAATTATCAGCACCCAGACTCTAAGTGGTATTAAACAGAGTGATAAATACCGACGGAGTACATATTTATTCCCATTCATAAATACCTTTTCGGTAAAAAAAATCATATAATTCGTTCAAAACATCCCGATTTTGTTCAACAAATTCACTTTATGCTTTTTGAAACATCCCTCCTGCAAAATAATGGAGTGTTCAGCTGGCGAGTAAGATGAAAACAACCCTTTTATGGAGATTGACGCGCGCGTATCATGTTCTACGCGATGTCGCGCAGAACGCACCTGGCGCGTTGCGTTTTGAATTTAGAACTTTAAAATTCTAACTCCCTGGTAGTGTTGCGCATGCCTACGTGAGGATTGTGAACGTTCAACCAATGAAACGATAAGAGGCACTGGATTTTTAGGAGTCCACATTTTATTGTGACACTGGAAAAGTGTTTAAGACCAGCTAGCCATGTCTTTATCATCCGTTTAATACCGGCCACGTGACGGGCTCTCGACCAATAGGAATGGCTAAACTGTCTGAGGTATTTATGAATGGTACATCAAAAAACAGGTGGCCCTTATAATGTTACCAGTACTGATTGTAGACAATATTTGTGTTTTTCATATTACAGTAGTAGCCCAACAGTGACAACAACCCTGAAGAACCTTGGAGCCCTCTATAGACGACAAGGCAAATATGAGGCAGCTGAAATCTTGGAGGAATGCGCCATGAGGTCACGAAAGAATGTGAGTTGTGTGACTGTCCGGTGCATCGATTTATAAACAGACTGACATTACCAATACCAATAGTTTTGTTGCAAAGAGTAGAAATTTGTCAGGAAGATGAGGCAAGATTAGAAGTGAGAATTTGCTCACTTCATGGGTACCAAATTACTCATCACTTTTGAAATCTTTGAATATCATGCTACCGACTTAACTATCACCAATAACCTCCCTTGTGCTTTGAACAATGGCTGTTACTTTGCACTGTTGGAAAGATCTACGTGTAGATTTGATGATTGTCTTGTACATGTACAAGTACCTACCGGTAGTTGGCTTTGTTTGCTGTAGGGAAAAATTGGGTCACATTTACATGTATCCTCATCATAATGCACATTCCCAGAATATCCCAGATAGGGGACCTGAAAGCATAAAACATTACCAAGAGCATCTTGGCAGTGTTGTGGTCAAGGCACTTGTCACTGATCACAAGTCATCCAGTCCCAAGTCAACTCACAAACTATTCCAATGAATTATGACATAGGCATTTCTTTGTTAAGTTCATCCCCAATATCCTCTGACTGCACTGGTGACTTCCTTGTAACTTGACTTTTGATTACAATTGGTCAGTCACAAGTACCTCAACTAGAACACTGCAACTGGGTATTGCACAGTATGAGAGCAGTGATGGTCTTTGTCCATAGGCTGAGTTGATCAGTGCAACTAACAATTCTTCTAATTGTTGTTATGTCCAGCAGACAATGGATGCCGTCAAAGAATCTCGGGTCCGAGAACTCCTCAATAAAGACCTGTCCACGGACGTCCCACGTCATGAAGCAAGCTTACGTTCAGAACGTAAGCATGATCACAGACGCAGCAGTAGCGGTCCCGGCTCTAGGAGAGAGAGTTCTGATAGCGTGTCCTATGAGAAACATGACGGGACGGAGGAAGTGAGTATTGGTGCCATGTGGAGTGGGGTAAGTACTGCAGTATTCGTTTGACCACACACTGGCAACTACTCTTCTGTCACAAAGCACAATCAAAATCAAATTGACTCGGTTGGTTTCTTACCCAAACTATCCGTGTGGTTGCAAAGCTTCCAACTTTCAAAGCTGTTTGAAATTCTCATTTGGGCAATAAAAGGTGTTTGGGTTCTTGAAAGGTGGGTGTTTTCCGGTTAGTGTTTGAGCTGAGTTTTGCTGTTGGTTGAGCATGATTGGAGTTACCGCAAAATATTGGGTTATTGAGCAGCTGTCTTCAAGTTTTTATTTGTTTTATATTCTAGTTCTAATAGTTTTGTTATCCGCAATATAATTTAAAGTAACTCAAATAAGCTAATACTCTAATAAGCTAATTTTTAATTTAATTCACTAATATAAGAGTCTTTGCTAATTCATCAAGCTAAGGCACTTAAAAGTGTTCAATATCCTTAACTTACACTGTGTGAACAGTGATGAGAAAAGGACTAATCATAGTCATTCTAATAATCAAATTACAAACATTGTTATACAAGTACGTAAATGTATCGTGACTGTTGTCATGACGAGACAAGTTTCATGCAGTCATTGAATTCAAATTTGTCTCCTCATGAAAGCTGTGATGATATTTCCATTTAATATGAACATGGACACTTTTGTGTTTGAGTAGTACATGATTGTTGTGTTGATATGCACTCTAAATTATACAAACAAAAGATTAGTACAATTATTCAAGATTAAAGACTATGATCTAATGAAATAGACTCAACTACCTACATGTAAGATAGAAACTATACCCAAATAATTACGTGTATCTGGGCACTTTAGTTTAAAACTTTGATAAATAATTCCATATCTAAACAAACCAATTATTAACAGCTTTGCTTGCTAAAAGGGTTTCTGCTACTTGTTAGTTTCATTCAAAATCAAAATTCTGTATATAAAAGCTTGCTTTCTTTTTGATGTGTTGGTGTGCTGTTCAGGTTGGCATGTGTAGAGTGTGCGCTTAATTTGTTTTAATACATGTAGACCTGTCACTTTCTCAAATCACATTCATGTTGTCATTGCATTTTGTTGCTACCTCACATAGGAGTACATCATTTTGGTTTTGTCAAGGAAGCACATTTAAACTCATGTAAAGAAACTTGCTGAGGTTAACACATTTTATGGTGTGTGTAGTGTACCGGTACATGTAATCCAAATTTATGTGGAAAAAATATTGAGAAATTATGCCACCTTACAATGAATTACTGGTACATGTACATGTACCCAGTACATGTACCACTAAATTTGAATATGTGCATACCCAATACGTGTACATGATTCTGTTCACCTACATGTACATGCATAACTAACAAACGCTGCTAACACAAGCACTTCTCACATCCATGCACTGCTTACATGTACATGTATAAATCATTTCTAGTAATCTTCCAGTGGCTTCTCTATCATTAACAACCATTCAGGGCCAATCCATGAGTAAATAGTCCACACATGTCTTTCTCATACCTGTACACGTAGTTGTATGGCCCTTCCAGTTGGTAACAATTGACCCGTCAATTTCTTTTGTCCTCTGAGGCATGTACATATTTGTTGTTTCTGTATTTCCAGCGCCTTCCTTATTAGAACACATTTGAAGATTCTCCATCTCCAGGTTCTGTGGGGATGCCCAAAATATCTGGAATGTGTTCTTCAGTTTTACATGTATTTAAAAAACAATGATCCTGACCTCTCAGCATCTATATTGATAAGAACATGTTTCAGAACAGAATTTTAACAAGAAATGAGTTAATTTCAACAACAAAAATTACAAACTGTACATGTGCATAGTACATATGTAAATGTGTACAGTACTTACCGGTAGTCTTGAACAAAGTACAGAAATGTACTTTTTAATTGTACATCACAGCTGAAACAACAGCTTGAAAATATTATTTTTTTTCCCTGTTTCCTAATTCTTGACTCAGAAAAAGAGTATCAAACCTATTTCATTGTGTTATACCCTGCCTGTTCTGTTTTTTTTTTTTTTTTCATTTATTGACAATCATCGCATGCAGCTCTAACATTATCCACCATGCGCTCATGTCTTGTATAACATCATTCATTTAACATGTACTTATACATGTACATGCGCCTAGCTACAGCACTTAACAGTTGCCAGATACAGTAACAGTTGCCAAATTTATGTTTGGAAAAATCATCACTTGTCATTTGGATCTTACTGAAATGTAAAATAGCATTGATATTTAGAATTTAATACAGTAATTTTTCACAAAGAGATTTTGTTATTTTCTTTGTAAAGGAAAGCTTTGCTGGAGATCTACACTGTGCATCTTAGAATAGAATGTATCATTTTTGGATTTTGAATTGAATTTATTCTTGTTTGATTCTGCAATGCCATCAAATTTTGATCTACGTGTAACCGTGAGAAATGTTTGACAGACTAATTAACAGTGTAAATGGTTGGATTATGTCTTTTTTTCAATAAGGTTTTATTTAATGATCTGTACCTTATAGAAAATGTCATTATTCAAATCAAACCTTGATCGGTCCGTGAGCAGTAGAGTAAACAATAATTCTGGAAAACCCACCTTGAGAGAGCTACATTTGGGCTCAAATGATTATAAATGATAATTATTTTGTAGGTTTATGTCCAATCAATTTACAAAAAAAAATTGTTTGAAAAATAAGTTTGTTCTCCAACCGATTGCTTGTTCATGTAATGCCATTGCCATGATTGCTGGTCAAACATTGCTGCAGTACATTTACCACTTACATTTTATTGAGTGTTCTTGTTTATTATCAGAATATCCCCTAATAAATGTATTTTATTATAAATTGTTCATGTACATGTACATGCAATATATATTTTTTACATCCCAACAATTTACTTTGGCAGAAGTCACACATCTTTGCAGTCACACCTCATAAATAGTATAATAGAAGAGGATTTATTTGGTAACAAATTTGGGTCATTCCATGCCAACTCAACAAATGGTGCACACCATCACCTCTTGGATTTTTTTCTTTTTTGGTGTACTGAAAGATACTTAGGAGAAATGCAAATTCTGAAAATTTGGGGTCTCTACGACTTTTCGTTCTTGCGCAACAGCATTTTGAAATTTGAGGTGGGCGGGGCCAAAAGTGCGTCGCGTCACGAAATTCAATGTTTAAAGGGCCATATATTTAAAACTATACCCCCCAGACATTTCAAACTTGGTAATCTGGGCTATTTTTTGCTGTAGATTTCAAATATTTAAACAGAAAGAAAGTAGCTTGTTTCATTTTTAAGTTAGAGGGGCCCCAAAATGGCCCAAAACTCATCTGGACCAATGTTCGGGGGGGTGTAAGTCAAAAATTGAAAATATTTTTTTCACCAAATTTTTTGCCTGTAATAGCCCCCAATTGAAACTACTTTCATGTAAAATCTTACACTTATATTAACTTCATTGAATGAGATATAGCCCTTGCAAAAAGCAAATTGTTTATTTTTACGATAACTTGACCCCCCCAAAAACCAACGTCAGACATTCCGCACCAAATTTTGCTTCACATATGTTTGAGGTTGGTCCTTAGTGAAGTCCTCTGAAAAGTTTCATGTTGGTGTCTAAATGTCTTCAGTGGATAGCTGGGCATTATAATGAGTCTATCTTACGATGCTGGTTCCTTAACATACAAGTACACATGTATAGAATAACAGCAGTCGGTACATAAAGAATAAGTTGGGTATGAAACTTAGCTTACATTTGTACATGTAGACTTTTGATCAGTTGATATAATTGTTTACAGTTTCACAGGTGAAATTATGCATTCCTTGTGATGTAGTTTTGATGAAGTTGAATGAGTTGCATGATGGTTGGCTCACTAAGTTTGTATTGCCTTCCACCGCTATGTAGAAGTTCTGGTGTTGGTACGCAACACAACACATCAACAAATGGAATGTTACATTTATCCTCTCTTTGTGGCCAATAGAGAGTATTTGTTGATTCCGTCCTGTACATGAAGCAGACATACACATCCTCATGAAGTTGTGATACATCTTCTACAATAGCGATGTGCCAAACATCATCATAGACCACACAAACATATTTTCCTGGGTTGAGGTCAGCTGCTACAATTGGTGCATGATGAGTTTCCTGCATGAACTAGGTTTCCCCTTATCCATAATGAAAACTAAAATCAATCAGGTTAAAACCATAGACCCTCTACTCAAACTGAATCACTTCTCTTTGGTTCAGGTTAGTGCTATACTATGCTGTGCAAGTGAGAACTGGTTAATTACTACATACATTACATGCATGCTGTGTGATGAGCACATGGAAAGAATAAGACTCTCAAGTCATTTAACCTAATTTGCATATAATGCACACGTAGGTCTACAAGCAACTGTTTATTGAGCAGGAAATGGGTAGTCTTGACCCAAGTATTTCAACAGTCGGGGGATTTTGTTGTGCTGGTTCCGTAAAATACAAGTACATGTACATGTACATGTATGTTACGGAACCTGCAGCATCATAAGATATAGACTCTTTAAAAAGCCCAGCTATCCACTGAAGACATTTAGACACCAACATGAAACTTTTCAGAGGACTTCACTAAGGACCAACCTCAAACATATGTGAAGCAAAATTTGGTGCGGAATGTCTGACGTTGGTTTTTGGGGGGGTCAAGTTATCGTAAAAATAAACAATTTGCTTTTTGCAAGGGCTATATCTCATTCAATGAAGTTAATATAAGTGTAAGATTTTACATGAAAGTAGTTTCAATTGGGGGCTATTACAGGCAAAAAATTTGGTGAAAAAAATATTTTCAATTTTTGACTTACACCCCCCCGAACATTGGTCCAGATGAGTTTTGGGCCATTTTGGGGCCCCTCTAACTTAAAAATGAAACAAGCTACTTTCTTTCTGTTTAAATATTTGAAATCTACAGCAAAAAATAGCCCAGATTACCAAGTTTGAAATGTCTGGGGGGTATAGTTTTAAATATATGGCCCTTTA